GACAAAGATCCCCCATATAGCCTTCAACAGGTTACTTGGGCAAGTGCTGTTTGGCGATCACCCACGATGGCTGGCACGGCACACGAGGGAGTGATGGTGGCCACCTTTGTCTCACCTACTGCTGATGTCTCATACACACCACTCCGAGTACTCATTTAAGGCTGAGTCGATCAAAGGTGTCTCAGGACTGGCTTAGCCAAATCCCCACTCGATGTTGGCTGTGAGCGGGAATTGAACTCGGGTCGCCGCTGGGTCCCTCACGCAGTGCGCTAATCACTGCGCCACTATTCCCCACACAAAAATAAAGATCCCCAGTATAGCCTTAAAAGACTGTTGGGGTAAGTGCTGTTAGGGAGCACCTATGAAGATCGGCGCGGCACACCAGGGGGTGGGTGGCCAGCGCCAAGCCCGGCCGCCTTTGTCTCCTGAGTGGCGATGTTCACTACACACCGCACCAGGTACTCATTTTTGGCCGAGTCGACCTAGCGGAAGCCCAGGACCGGTTCAGATAATCGTCACCGGCGTTGGCCGTGAACGGGAATTGAACTCGGGTCATCGGGTTCATCGCGCAACGCGCTGACCGTTGCACTACCTCTCCCCACACGTGCACACGTACGCATGCGCACACACACGCGCACACACACATGTACCCATGCGAATCATAAAAAAAACTTCTAAGAAGCCGTGCTGGCAGTGGTGTAAAAGTGGTGTACAAGGGTCGGAGAGCTTATCACATCCAAAAGTCAACGTATATAAATATATATTTGCTGTCTTTCCGCTATGAAGTCCATTCCCTGAAAAGTTAACCGAGCATGTGTTTTTTTTTTTCCCTACGTAATAAGAGTACCTGCCCTTTTGTCAATTCCCTGGTGGGTTGGGCAAGAGACCGAGCCCACGGCCCGTTCGGATATCGCTCGCCACCCATGTCGGCCGGAGCGCAGCGACCACTGCCCCACCGCTTCGCCCCGAATATGTGATACAAAACAATGATGAAGGTGAATTTTGTTAATTGTATGCAAGCACTTACATACATCAGTTCATATCTAGAAATATATACTAAGCGGTTTCCTGCTCAAATGAACAATGAAGCGATGCTCAGCTCTCATTTACAGCCCTGAGTCAGTGGTGGAAATTCCATGTTACTTTGGTGGGGGGGGGGGGGGGGGGGGGCGGGACTTTCCGTAGGACAACCACTGCCAATCTTCCCCTGCATGGTGGTGTTCATTTGATCGACGATCCTGGAGGGTTCAGAATCATCAGAATATTTGTGGACTGCAGGAGAAATCCGATGAGCTATGAAGCTCTTTTTCACAGATGTCCAACATGGGCGAGTCATGTCGGGGTTGATCGTCCGAGTCAACCCCTCAACCTGGCGGTGGCTACGCTGCTACTGCTGCCCGTGGCTGCTGCCTGTAACCTAGTACCATGGAGGCAGCAGCAAGGGTTGATGGATCACCGCACAGATGGGTTGTGAAGCTCCCTTACAGTGGACGTCAACGGGGTGCCATACGCTGGCTCGCCAGGCGAAGGTGCTACAAGCAAGTGAACTAACCCGCCATCTCTGCGGTTGGGGATAGAGCGCTGCCCCCTCGCACAAGGCGTGGGGTTTTTCTCCGGGTGCTCCGGTTTACTATTAAGCCCTTAGTTGGGTCCGCTGTGCCTGATAAAAACGTAAGGTAAGAAATAATAATCATCATTAATTATTTGAAAACATCTTAAGGTAAAAACCCAATTCAGCGTGACCTTCCTATAAATCCGTGTAGCTTCCTGGATATATATATAAAAAAATGTACTTAACCAACCTAACCAGGATTTTAATTCGCAACCTTGCGAGTATAGACTGACATACACGCATGTGCACATACAAACCCATCTATACACACACGTGATAACACGTGATATACGTACAAACTTGTCTACACGCACAATGAAAGCTACACTCGGCACAGCCATCAATAACGCTACCGTATAATATATAACTAGATCGTGAGCTGAACGCGTAGTAAGTTTGCGGAGACAATATAACGATTAATAATTGATTTTTGGGTTAGGCCACGCCAACGATCTGGCCACGATTCTTGCCGAGATGCTCGACCACCATTCCACGGGGGCCACCTCCATCCGACGCACCCAGTCACAAAACTGTATCGCGACCTAACAATTGGGGAATGCGGTCCCTTACTACTCAAAGAGGACGATGGGAAGCACGCTCACTGTCCTGACACGCAGGCATCCCCACAAACGTGCAGCAACGTAAGCACGCACGCACCAAACAATACAAAGGTTGTGTGTTTAGCCTCGCGGGCAGTTGGGAATAAGTGCGTTGTGTGAATGCCTGTTTAAGACCGGCACGACACACAAGGGTGGGTGGATGGAGGTGTGGTCAGCGCCACACCTCCGTCTCCCCACTTGCGGATGTTGCAACTTGGGTGGAGAGGTAAATATGTCGGGCCGTTGTCGTGTCCTGTTCGTTCATTTTGTTGGCCCATGTTCTTGACGATGGCGATCCACGGTCGCGTGTTTTGGTATAGTAACGCGTCGATCCATAATCTAACGCAGAGGGTTCCCTTGCCTTACCATATACATCCGGCAATTTTGGCAAAGATTCGTTTAAGCGCAACCAGACGGTTGAGTGAGAGAATGAAATGTTGAAACCGCTCCAAAGGTTGCTGCTTGCGTTAGAACCAAATTCTCCCAGAAGGCCGCGTGGCCTTCGAATGGGATGTTATGGTGGGGGGGGGGGGGGGAAAGGGTTCAAGTTTTGAACACGTGGGAAGGGGGCGCACAGTGCACCGTCGGTCATTTTAGTTTACCAAGAAGGTGGCTCACAGCAGGCTCACGTGACAGAATGCCTGCAGTGCGAAAGGAGCCGTGGGGGGGGGGGGGGGGGGATGGTGGGGCTCGGACTGTAACGCAGTGGAGCAAACCACGGCGCCACCACTCCCCTGTACGCAAATATTTGAAATGCCGTCACTCGTCGCACACAAGCGCTCCGACGCCGTTGCCTCAAGGAGCTCGGGGCCCAGAGCTGACCCCTTGGAATGTGGCTCATCAGTGACCCCCCCCCCCCCCCCCCCCCTTAATAGAGGTTTTATTTTGAGTTAGATCAGCGTGAAATTCGAGAGCAAATCCACAACATTTACAATCTCTCCAACACACCGGTGTGCTGGACGAGTAACGACTTGGCATGTTCCCTTTACGTGACAAACCTTACTAATTGGCTGTGTCGGGTGGTGGCGGGTTTAACGACACATTTATATATTTACGCGATCTAACCCAAGAAACCCCCCCCCCCCGTATTATGGATGATACTGATCGCGAAAGCCTCCTACTAGGTGTTAAACTGAACCCCCCCCCACCCCCACCACTACCCCGAGAGACACCCCCTGTCGGGAATAGAGACCCCTCTCTCGCGAGACCTCCGGCAGCGGCACAGAGCCCCTCGCATCCACGGTGCTTCAACGACGACGCTGACGACGCTGGGACTCTTTCCACGACGGGGGGGACGAGGAGACGATGGTTATGGCTGGCGTTTCGGGCGATGGACCTGCTTCAGAGCAGGCGTTTGCTGCACGTATATATATACACACACACACAAGTCCAGCCGTCTGTGAGTGAGGCCAAACACAGCCTTTGTCTCCCGTCTACGCGTTCCATTAAGACGGGTCATTGACCGAAGTGGCACCTGCTATATGCGCTTCCTTCTAAGGCCCCACATGCGCGCCGCTTTACCGAACCTCCGGTTGGCTACGTGCGGTGCGAAACAAGTTCAACATACATATATAAACGTTATATGGACGTTACATAGACGTTAAGCTTGTTCTTTATTATTTACTGTGATTGTGCACCACTGCCAACGCAGCAGCAGTAGCAGCAGCAAATGATTTTGTTCTTTTAAGCACCGTACTCTCCGGATTTTTTTTAAGATGCTCCGGAAAGTAAGATGCGTCCCAAACTTGTGCCCGGTGGCAATAAAGTTATGAAAATGTATACTCTCCCCACACACACACACACACGGCTACCGGATTGTAAGACACGATACTCTTTGGTTATTTTGTATAATTAACAGCTCAATCAAAAGTTGACGTACAGAAAGTCGTTTATTCTTGTCGGTCGTGTCTATTTCCTACGCGGTATTGTTTGTGCGTTGTTGTGCTGTACTTCCGTGCATTCCACTTCTTTGTCCCATGCCCTTCATCACCCTGGCACTGCCCAATGCGGTGAGGTACGTAAACAACATCACAAGGGTTTGGAAAGGCCCTCATCCAGCAGTGGATTGACAAAATGGCTGTAATATATACCCTGTGCAACATCATAACACACGCGGTGCATTTATGGATACTCCACTAAAATAATAGCGTAGCAAATTCGAGCAAACAACATTATATTTCAAAGCCTCTGCCTTAAATTAAATCCTTTTTAACAGCACTCCTCTCCTGGGTGTGGAGCAATTGCTTTCGCAATAAGGTCAACCGGAATCAGTGGGCCATTGACAAATGGATACAAACACGTGTAACAGGTTCCATCCCTAGGGGGCTCGCATCAAATCGCGTCAGATAATGCCCACCGTATAATTGCATTGTCGCACGTGTCAACGGGAAAAGTCAGCCAAGTGAGTAAAAGCCGCGGGCAAGTGACAGAAACGAGTACCTCACACCCAGTGGGCCGTGGCACGGTTGCCACGGTCCACGGTGAAAATAATGAAGCCGAGGGCCCTCACCTGTCCGACGCCTCCCTTCTTTTGGCAGCCCGGCGCCCGGGCCCCCTCCCTCCGGCTCACGGGCCTCGGTGCGGTTGCCCCGCCTGCGTACTCGACAACTAAACCCCCGGCACGGTGCGGTGGTGGGGGAACCATGTCCTAATTCCCCCGCCGTCTGTAGGTCCGCGCCCGGGCCGCCCCCCCCCGAGCCTCGGTGCGGTTGCACCGCCTGCGTACTCGACAGCCCCCCCCCCCCCCCCCCCCCCCCCCCCCCCGCCAGTCGCGGCCGAGGGCTCCTCACCAGCTGGAGCCGAAGGCGGCGCAGCCGAGGTCGGCGATGCGAGCGTGGACCCAGCGCTGGCGTTCGCTGCCCCCGCCGCGGTGCCGCAGGTAGACGTTGACCTTGGTGAACTCCAGCAGGAAGTCGCTCGTGTCGTGCAGGAAGAGCACCAGCAGCCCGATGTTGTGGAACCTGCGGGGGTGCCAGCGGAGCGTGCACGGATAAATCACGCGCAAGCAGATGCACGCACTCGAATGCACGCACGCACTCACGCGAATGCATGCACGCACGCGAATACACGCACGTGCATGCACGTGCACGCGAATGCACGCACGCGCACGCACGCACGCGAATGCACGCACGTGCACGCACGGATGCACGCGAATGCACGCACGTGCACGCACGCACGCGAATGCACGCACGTGCACGCACGGATGCACGCGAATGCACGCACGTGCACGCACGCACGCGAATGCACGCACGTGCACGCACGGATGCACGCGCAGCTTCGCATACTCCGAGCACGCAGAAACACAGAGACAAAGATGCAGCTGAGCCGACTGACCGGTTCAGATACACTGTATTCAGTGTGTACTGTAAAAGTAATCTGAAACCTGTTCCTAGAATACACATGCATGTGTACACCGCAGGTGAGTTTTATTATTAATAATTTTTCATTTGTTGGAATTTCGAATTTTTTGGGCCAATTTCAGACATAATTTGCATTTTCCGTATTGAAACTAATGACGACTTTATTTACGTCATGCTTATGGCAGCAAATGTCACGATTTAAATAGTTTTGCGTGTTAAATTGCGGGCTCGTATACATTTACGTAACATTCCAACAGAAAAACAATCATTTGATTAAATTTTTCACGCAACTAATTTAAATCGTCTATCCACCTTTGCAGGATATGTACGGACGTGATGTCATCCAGTGATATCAGTTCCAATGACATCACGATTTTAAATCAGTTGGAACACATTTTTGTTTCCAGATCTTCCGAAACTTCGCTCCATTTTCGGATAATTTTGGAATGATCTAAAAAAACAGGAACGCATCTTCAGTTGACAACGGAGCCCCTTTGTAAAACCACTGCTGGATGGAGGAGACTCCTCAGGGCGTGCGGGTCATGGGGGGCTATCTTGACAAGATCTCACCACGCCGGTCGGTTGGCCGAGCATAGACGTGGGAGCACTCAAGCACAGAACAACAAGAGACTTTGCCTCACTGCCTCTCTGCTGCCCACGACGTAGCCCCGCAGCAGCCTACAACACCTGTTTTATGCACAGCGGCACTCAGCCCATCCAAGCACAATCCAGGCTCCATCCCGCTTAGCTTCTGAGCTCTGTACATATGCGCGTTGAACTTCTTTCGCACCGTACGTCGCCAACCGCGCTAACCGGTGGCGCGGGGGGGGGAAGGACAACAAACTAAACGCAAAAGAAACTGAACTCTGATAAGATCGAGCACCTATTGATTGGTTGGTTTGGTCACAGGCGGGCGGCTGTGTTCGCAGGCACTCCATGACCAGGCATGGGACCGGGTGGACGGATGAGGACAGAAGTACGGGGTGGGGTCAACGCTACCGACCGACTGAAAACTATTTTATTTTACCAGGCAAAGGCCACTGAGTTATATTGCTCTTTTTTCACAAGCGATCTGGTCACAAATGGTAGCTCAAATGAGTGGCTTATGTGGCAATTTAGAGCAGCGAAATAATCTCAATGGAAAAATCAGAGGACCCGGAGAAAAATCGACGCAACCACTTGGACAGCACGCAAACTCCAAATATGCAGCGGCAGGCGTCGTCAGGGTCGGGATCGAACTCACGACCTCCTGCAAACCAGGCGAGGTAGTTAACATCTCCGAGCCGCCGATCGACTGACCTGAAGGCGTAGGAGAACCCAATGAGCGACAGGGTGATGATGTGGTGGAGGATCATGACGGGTGAGTCACGGCGCCACGTGTCCAGGCACAGCGTCCCGTACACCGAGTGGAGGTAGAAGCTGCCCTGGAGCATGTAGGCAAGGTGGATGTCGCTGGGCACCTCCATGCCGACGTACCAGCCTGCGCCAGGGAACGAGCCACCGGGTTAAAGTCGATTCCTACGCCCGTAGCGCACATGTAATGCGCGCGTGTGTGCTTTCGTCCAATTGTTTGGCGAGATGAGAATGAGTTATTTTAAAAATATTTTTGTTTTAATTGTAGAACGCTGAATGGCCATGCACGTGGCCTGTAATCCGGCACATTGGAGACAGCAGCGAGGGCTGGTAGATCGCGATAACCTTGCGAAACTGCCTTCTTGTGGGCGTCGAGGGGTTGCCGTACTGTTGCTCGCCATGAGAATGCGGTACAGCAAAGTGCAGGCATCTGTCCCTTCTGCGTGGAATAAAACGTTGCCCCGACGCACGCGTGCGTTTACTCCGGGTTCTCCGCTTTCCTCCCGCGTGTATGAACGCTCGTTAATTGACGGAATTAACAAAGTGTTTATTCTCATTCTACGTGACTTGACCGAAAGAACCAAAGAAGATGTTCATACATATAGAGGACCGCAGACCTTTGGCAATTTTCGGCACCGAGCTCATCGCCTGGCTGTCCGTCCAGCTCGTCTGTGATTCCTCAGCGATTGTGAGATGCAAGTTGCTTGATGAACAATGGAATAAAAAATTAAACATGATTCTTTCATGAAGTAGATTTTTTTTCCTAGAGGAGAATGATTTTGAATGAATGAGACTAAATAAGTTTGACCAACCTCTGAAATACACACCACAAAATATGAGTTGCAAAATAAATAAGCAGACAATATGCCTCCTTCCCATATCTGTCCCTCCACGTATATAACTAATGTGTTTTTTTTAACATCCCATTAGCCACAGGACCTTCTGGGTTTACATCATTTCAGCAGCATTAGCTCAGCACAAGTGAACTCTGGACCGCTTACGACATTCAGCGTCCCCTCATTCAATGATATTAAAAACGGCCGATGTTCAAAAGTATTAAAGGCTCCTTTGAGAAATAAAAAAAATAATAACCAAAAAAAGTCACAACCTCAGGTCCACCTCTGATGACCGCCTATTTCTGTCTAAAAGTAAACCTGCCCACTGTATCGTGCAGCGTCTTGCTCTGCAGTTGCATCTGGGAGACTATTTAAGTCCACATTGTGTTGACTCGCATAGAGACTGACAGACTCACATAGAGACCGGCAGACTCACTTAGAGATTTATAGATGACATAAACCTATGACTAGATACCTATAGACTCTAATAACCAAACTAAAACTTTTTCATTTTACCAGGTAAGGCCCACTGAGCTACGCAGCTTTTTTTCAGAAGCGCCCTGGCCACAAATGACAGCTCAACGAAGTGGCTTATCACCGTGGAAATTTATTGCAGCCAATTAGTCGAAACGCATATCTCTACATGTGGAGGGACCCGGGGGAGCAACATGCAAACTCCATATATATGCAGAAGGCGTCAGGGTTCGGGATTGAACCCACGACCTCCTGTATACCAGGCGAGGTAGTTAACATCTCCTAGCCACCGTGGCGCCCTCACAGAGACCCACAGACTTACATAGAGATCTACGAATGAATACCTCGCTCTATGAAATAAATACACCCACACTGTTTTCACACAGCTGCTATATGAAGACGCAATGTATAAATATTATGCTTTGCTACCGCCCTGCTCGGAACCACATTAATTCACGTCACCACGGCAGGTTTTTCGTAACTAGGTAGAGACTCTATCACGGCTACTGCTAATCGCCGTTGGCGGGCGCCCATTAGCGGTTTTATCGGGTGCGTCGCGTGTGAGCTATCGACGAGCGCTATCTTAGCGAAACGTCCCTGGGGAGTCCATCGTGTCCCGACCGCAGCCACCGCCGGTGAGACTTTGGACACGGCCGACACGAGTCGCGAATCCGCGGCTGCCACTTCGACGATCGCAGCACGGCAGCACAACCACCTCGCCCGTACGTCGCTTTTTTTTTCTTTCCCTCCCTCCCCCAGATTGGGTATCTGTGTGAAAGAGCTCCATAGCTCATCGGATTTCTCCGGAATAAATCAAGATTCTGATTCTGGGTCCCCATTAGCAAATCACCCACAATGCACCCCCCCCACCCCCCCGCCACTCGATCTGGTCAGATATCATTATTCTTTTTTAATGCTAAACGTTATATTTTTGTGACTTGCAAAACTGTAGCCATAACTCACAGCTGAGCGGCATCAATTCCTCTGAAAATGAAAGGCACACTGGCCATCGCAGGATGCTTGACTGGTAAAAAATGTCAACTATGGCTGTGGGCGTGCACAGGCAGGTAGGAGTCCAAGGGTGTAAACCACACTCCGAATTACCACCACATCGTTACACTGTGACCAAATCACCCGGAATGCACCCGATTCTGTCATATCGCTGAAGCTAAGCAGGTTTTGAGCCTGGAAATGTATAGCAGCCAAATACTCTAAACGCCGTGACGTTGATTCTAAATGTGGAGGGGAAAACCCAGAGGACCCAGGAGAAAAATCCACGCGACCACGGGGAGAGAAACACCGCAGACTCCAAATATGCAGCAGCAGGCGTGAGGGTCGGGATCGAACCCACAACCTCGGGCATTCCAGGCGAGGTAGTTAATGTCTCCTAGCCACCGTGGCGGACGGTCTTGTTTAGCCGGTTGCCCGGCTATTCTGCGAGGGACATCCGTGGTGTACGAGCACAGCAGCAGCCCACACAGCAACAAAAGACAAACTCGCCCATGGGTGACCGGCCCCATGCCGCGCTGTGCGCTTACGCGGCGGAGAGCAACATCGCTTGTTGTACTTGACTTCTATGCCCCCCCCCCCCTTCCCCCACACACGTCGATGCTCCCGTCTTCACCAACCGGCAATGACCAGTGCGGTGAAGTATGGGTGAGACAAGCCTCCAGACCTGCGCGTGTGGTGGGGGGGGGGGGGAGGCCCTCATCCAGCAGTGGATTGACAAAAAATGGGGCTGTCTGTGTGCATTGTAATTGCCCGCATGGTATCATGCCAAGAGAACGAAGGAATTCCGTTCTCGAACTCTCACCCAAGGTGGCTGTGCACCACCTTGGGTGAGAGATCGGCTCGGGAAGGTGGCCAACTCCGAATTAACTCGCTTCCATCGGCATCTGGACATCTGTGAAGGAGAGCTTCATAGCTCGTCGGATTCCTCCTGGATAAATACATATTCTGATTCTGTATCTTCGTTCACACCGTAGAAGCATTCCTTTGATATGCACCTCCGATTAACACAGTCGGCTAAAGAAGTTCAACATACACACATACGCCTTCACAGCATTTTGCTGCACGTCCATGAAACCCAAACGTATCATTCCGAGAGCTGGAATTCGACAATTTTTTTTGTTTTCTTTAAATGAGGCGGTGAAAACGAGACTAAAGGGAAAAAGCGGAAATTTTCGAATCAAATTGTGGACCACCAATCGTGGCTCTCGCCAACTCGCGGAGCGGTGGTGACGGCCTGAGTCAGGGGTGGCAACCCACGGCTCGGGAGCCGCATGCGGTGGCTCCTTCAGGACCGGTGCTTCGTGACGTCACTCATCAAGGACCACCTCCGTCTCGTAATTCACACGCATTGGCGGCTCTTGAACCGTTTTGTGTTTTTTTTTTGTTCCCCCCCGAATATCGAAAAAAATGTCTCTTCTTGTTGTTTCGGTTGCCGAACCCCGGCCCAGAGCGAATCGCGAAGATCGCCGACGTTCGCGAAAGTTAACGTCGCGGGAACCGAATCGCCGCAAATCCCCGTCGCGGCGCCGGTTGCGCGAGCGGCCGCGCTCACCGGCGAACGCCGACAGCGGCTGGGAGAAGAAGTTGTAGTCGCGCATGAAGAGCAGGTAGCCGCTGTAGAGCCACGCGCCCAGGTAGAAGACGAGCTTCCACGCGTTCTCCGGGAACTTGGCCACGTCCTGGGGGCGCAGCCGCAGCTTCGCCGCCAGCGGCTGCGACAAAAACACGACGGAGCGGGCGTCATCGTTGAGCGTCACCGCGAGCGGCGTGCGCCGCGGCTACGCGCGTGGCCCGCAATCCGGCACTGTGGACGCCGGCAAGGGTTTGGTGGATCGCTGCGCACATTTTGAGAGACTCCCTTCCCCGTCGTGAGTCCAGGGTGCCACGCCCTGGCTTGCCGGGAGAAGGCGGCGCAGTCAGAGCGTGGACTGATCTCCATCCGTTTCATCGGGATGGGATTTTCCTCCAGGTGTTCCGGTTTCCTCCCGCACGCATAAACACTCGCTAATTGGCTGAAAATTCGTAAATATAAAAACCCAATACAACGCGCCTTAGGAATTGCGACGCGTCCTACCGTTTTTTCAGGATATCTGCAGTCGCATTCAGGGCTTCAGACACGGAAAGCTTCGCCACGCGGGGTCACGTGGGATCACGGGGGGGATCGTGGTTTACTGGCGTTTGGGGATAAAACAGGAATGCATATAAATTCCACAAGACAGAAACAAGGGCGGTTGTTAAGTGGAGGGTGTAAATGCGGTGCTGTTGACAGTTCGGGAGCACACAAGAGAGACGTGTGTGTGTGTGTGCCTCTGGCCTAGAAGTCACAAGCAAAACTGTCGAACGCCCGTTTCCTGTTCCACACGCACGCAACCGGCCCCACTGTTCACGCCGGGTTTTTACGCAGAGTCGGCAAATTTGGACAACAACAAGCCAGCCATCCACTTCCGGAGCACGTGGCCCAAAAATACTTCGTCTAAAACTGTAATCACTTGAAGGGATTTTAATCGACTCCGTTAAAAAAACTGCTGTGCCGCTGGGGATTGTTTTAATTGCTATTGTTAGACATTATGTTAACTGTTTCTGCAATGTGCACGGATGGAGTTTTGTAAGGGAGTTCAGAAGGCGGCGTGGATGTTAAGGAACGCAAAGGATTTGCTCTCTGTCCGTCTCCCTTACAGTCGCTCCGTCAGCTACTGCTGCCGCCGCAGAGTCGGAACAAAGTTCAACGTGCTTATCGGCCTGTGTGCCGGTAACCCAAATACTGCGCTGGGGCGAGATAAATCCCTTCGTCCCCGCTTCACCCCTTAAACTCCATCAGCAGCCCCGCGCACCGCATAGCCACACTGCCAGCACGTGTCAAGGAATGATGCAACGTAGCGCGAGGGGGACATTGTCAGTGGTGAGAGGTGGCCGAAATTTGAAGTGGGTTTTCTGTTTTCTTTAAATCGTGACTCTTAACGCTTAGCTCCCCGACGTGTTTTCGGGTATCTGCCTTAGGCACGTGGAGCAAAACGTCAGACAACCCCGGCGAACAACGAGCAGTACCACACGAAAACAGGGCAGAGAACTACAAAGCTGCACAACCGCAAAAACCTCCAAAGCAGAGTTGTCTCTTTTGTTTGCATTTTGACTGCTTGTGTTGTGGTTATTGCAAACATGATGCCTTGAATAAAGGTGTCAGTTTTTGTGCCAGTTAAAAGGGTAAAACCTATTTCTATACCAGTGTTTCTGTGTTTAAATTTTATTCAGCATGTTTCACGTGCAGTCCTGATGTGTATCCACTGCTGGATGAGAGCCTTCCTTGACCCCGTGCAGTTGATGGCGGTTATTTGACCATACTTCACCATGCTGGTTCGTGTGGCTTGGTGATTGCAGACAGCAAAGACGTTGATACGGTAATGCAATTACATTTTTGAGTTAGATCGCGTAAATATATAAATGTGCCGTTAAACCCGCCACCACCCGACACAGCCGACTAGTAAGGGTTGTCACGTAAACAGAACGTGCAAATTCGTCACTAGTAAAGCAGACCGGTGTGTTAGAGAGCCAAGCCACAACAACCCTTACTAGTTGGCTGTGTCGGGTGGTGGCGGGTTTAACGACACATATTTACGCGATCTAACCCAAAAAAACCTTTGTTATGGATGATATTGGTCGCGAAAGCCTACGTGTTAAACTGCAATGAAATTTGTTGCACTGCCCTCTGCCCACAATGTAGGCCCGCAGCAGCCTATAGCACCTGTCTTATGCGTGGCGGTCACCCATCAAAGCAGTGCGTAGGCTCAACTTAGCTTGGCTTGCAGAATATGTCCGCTTCGGGTGCAATCCGGGCGATTTTGTCGTAGGCTGACTACGCCGACACGGTATATTTAATCTTTTAGTAAATACGACAGCAACATAAACACAACGGGGAGGTCAAATGCAGTCGCTTGTCACGTGACAATGAAACCAAATGAGGCAGCAGTCTCCAGCAGAAGAGGTGATTGTGCCTGTGGCCCAACATGCCAGCGGCGCATGTTTTTGCTTTCTGGCAAGCGAACCGCGAGTGAGCCTCTTGGCCTCGTGAGGACAGGGGTCCCGAACACCCCACGGCGTTACGCTTTTTCATAATAAAAGGTTTTTGGGTGAGATCGCGTTAATATAAATGAGTCCGTTAAAACCCACCACCACCCATGACACGGCCAATTGATAAGGTTTGTCACGTGAACAAAACGTGCCAATTAATTGCTACTTCATTACACCGCTTGCGTGTTTGGAGAGTAAACCCACAACATTTACAATTCGAGTATTGTGACGTTTCGCTGGCGATTACAACAACCACAACAACAACCACAACAACCACCACAACAACCACCTCAACCACAACCACCACAACCACAACCAGCAGTCTCGTCAGGCGATTTGCTTTGTAATCACCAGCGACACGTCACAATACTCAACTTGTAGACGTTGTGGGTTTAATCTCTAACACACCGGTGTAATGGAATAAGTAACTAATTGACACGTTTTATTTACGTGACAAACCTTACTAATTGGCTGTGTCGGGTGGAGGTGGGCAAAGGACATCTTTATATCTACTCGATTTAACACAAAAAACCTTTTATTATGAATAACAGTTGTCGCGAAAGCCTCCTCCTCCTGCGGCTGCTGTGCGTGAAAACACGTGGGCTCTCTGTGGCCGTGCTGTGGGGTCTCTGTGGCCGTGCTGTGGGGCCTCTGTGGCCGTGCTGTGGGGCCTCTGTGGCCGTGCTGTGGGGTCTCTGTGGCCATGCTGTGGGGTCTCTGTGGCCATGCTGTGGGGTCTCTGTGGCCGTGCTGTGGGGTCAGCGCTCTCCGATTGTCTCCTCCTCTTTAGCAGCAGCAGATTGTTTAAGAGTGCCCAATATGAACTTCCGTCTACTGTATATGGGGTAAGCCTTTGGCGGGCCACCCGCCCATGCACTCCTCGTTGGTGGCGTTATCCTCAAGACGGAAAAACAACAATAATAATAATAAACATGCGGGGGTTCTTACGGCCACAGCGGTGCGTGCGCGCGGGCGCTCATCTTATTCGAGACACAACAGCGTTGTTGTTGTTGGTGTTGTCGTCGTTAAATTATTCCCTCTCGACTCCCCAGTTGGTGCTGCTCAGCACTGCCCGCCCGGCACAATAAAACTACAACACGACAGAATCTCTTTCGAGCGAGTGGCCAAGCGCGGTTGGACACGGGGCCCTGGCGCAAGACGCGACTTGGGACACCCCAACCCACCCACACCAAGCCACCCACACCCACACCAACCCACCCACCCACCTCCAACCCACCCACCCACACCAACCCACCCACACCCACACCAACCCACCCACACCCACCCCAACCCACCCACACCACCCACACCAACCCACCCACACCCACACCAACCCACCCACACCCACACCAACCCACCCACACCAACCCACCCACACCAACCCACCCACACCCACACCAACCCACCCACACCCACACCAACCCACCCACACCCACACCAACCCACCCACACCCACACCAACCCACCCACACCCACACCAACCCACCCACACCCACACCACCCACACCAACCCACCCACACCCACACCAACCCACCCACAGCCACACCAACCCACCCACAGCCACACCAACCCACCCACACCAACCCACCCACACCCACACCAACCCACCCACACCCACACCAACCCACCCACACCCACACCAACCCACCCACACCCACACCAACCCACCCACACCCACACCAACCCACCCACACCCACCCACACCCACACCAACCCACCCACACCCACACCAACCCACCCACACCCACACCAACCCACCCACACCCACACCAACCCACCCACACCCACACCAACCCACACCACACCAACCCACCCACCCACCTCCAACCCACCCACACCAACCCACCCACACCCACCTCCAACCCACCCACCCACCTCCAACCCACCCATCTCCCTCCAACCCACCCACCCCCCTCCAACCACCACCACCAACCCACCCACCTCCAAACCCTCCAACCCACCCACCCCCCTCCAACCCACCCACCCCCCTCCAACCCACCCACACCCACACCAACCAACCCACCCACACCAACCCACCCATCTCCCTCCAACCACCACCACCCACCCACCTCCAAACCCTCCAACCCACCCCCTCCAACCCCCCTGCAACCCACCCACCCCCACCCACCCCCAACCCACCCTCCATGTCCAAATTCCATCTCCGGCCCTCCTCCACCGTGACCCCCCCCCCCCGCCGCTGCTGCTCCATCGCCTGCGTCCTCGGCGGCGGCGGCACGGGGGGCAGGCAGCGTCGCTGAGCCCCCCAGGGCGAGACAGTGTGGGCACGTCAATCACGAAGCCTGAGCCCTACGCGCCCACAATCACCACCCTCGATCCCAACTCTGGCAGCCCTGACCTTGTTCAACCAGGGGTCGGCAAACCGATCATAACAAGATGAGGCTTCTTTTGTTTACGAATTCGGTGTAAAAAAATAAAAATAAACCCTCAATATTGTAAGGGTCTCAGTTGCTCGTGATGAGTACGAGACGGAGCGGGGGGGGGTCCGTAAATGAAGCCCCGAAGCAGGGGCCTTGACACATCCGCAGGTCGCCAAACCCTGTGGCGAGAAACCTCTCCACCTCACCTCGTATCACCTCATCCACCACAGTCTGCTACCTCATCCACAGTCTCCACCTCACCTCGTATCACCTCATCCACAGTCTCCTACCTCCTGGACCCTAAGCGCCCAACCATGGATCAGACGCAGATCTGCTCCGATCTCTTGGCCCCCTCGTCACTTCCACCGCCCTCATGCCTCACCGATCCCTCCACCTGCCCCCCTAGACTCCACATCCCTTCACCTGCCCCCCTAGACTCCACATCCCTCCACCTGCCCCCCTAGACTCCAAGTCCCTTCCCCTGCCCCCCCCCCCTAGACTCCACATCCCTCCGCCAGTCCCCCCTAGACTCCACATCCCTTCACCTGCCCCCCCCTAGACTCCACATCCCTTCCCCTGCCCCCCCCCTAGACTCCACATCCCTTCACCTGCCCCCCCTAGACTCCACATGCCTTCACCTGCCCCCCCCCCCGAGACTCCACATCCCTTCATCTGCCCCCCTAGACTCCACATCCCTTCACCTGCCCCCCCCTAGACTCCACATGCCTTCACCTGCCCCCCCCGAGACTCCACATCCCTTCATCTGCCCCCCTAAACTCCACATCCCTTCACTAGTCCCCCCTAGACTCCACATCCCTTTCCCTGCCCCCCCTAGACTCCACATCCCTCCACCTGCCCCCCCTAGACTCCACATCCCTTCCCCTGCCCCCCCCCCCCCTAGATTCCACATCCGTTCCCCTGCCCCCCATTCCCGTCCGGAACCCTGCCCGCATAACAAAGACATCCCCCGCGTAACCCGAACAGACTGTTGGGGGGGGGCAAGTGCTGTTAGCGAGCAGCACCTGTGAGGCTCCCGGCACCTGTGAATGCTCCCGGCACCTGTGAAGGCTCCCGGTACCTGTGAATGCTCCCGGCACCTGTGAGGCTCCCGGCACCTGTGAAGGCTCCCGGCACCGTAAGCACACGCGAGGGAGTCCGAGTCGACCCGGACGAGGACCCCCACGAGCAGGCTCGCCACGACCCGTCACCGGTACAACAACCCCCCCTCCCCCCCCCCCTGCGTGTCACCCCGGGGTTGGCCACCTTGAAGACGTGCGACGTGGCGAGGATGCGCGCCGTGATCCAGGCGAGCGCCAGCACGACCACGATGAGCGCGTCGCGGCGCCCGAACGTGGCCGTGTCCCGCAGCGTGCGAGCCGCCAGCGCGGCCCCGCAGTCCGAGCAGTCGCTCCACTCGCGGCGCATCCTCGAGTAGACGGCCACGGCAGCCTCCGCGTAGTCGGCCAGCAGACCCGAGCCGCCGGCGCCTCCGTCGCCTCCCGCTGCTGCCATCGCCGAGAGACGTTTGCAGCGAGGCTGGGCTGGGCTGAGCGAGAGGCGCGAGAGGGAGCGCGGAGCTCCAGAGCAGCTCCGACCCCGCGCGAGTAACGGGAACAGCTGCGCTGTGTCGAGCAGGGGGGGGGGGTGTTAGGGAGGAGCGAACATTGGGGCTGGAGCGGGGCGGTGCTGCTCGCTCGTCTCGCCACCACCCCCAACCCCGCGTGTGTGATGGGGCTGTGTGTGTGGGGGGGGGGTAGCGCCCCCTAGCAGCTGGTAGGGGGAGCGATGCTCAAGAACGGCTGCCCGCCCCCCCCGGCGAGACGCTCGCGCCGTGTCCTGGTTTGCACTCTTGTGCCACGCGTGCGCTGTGGCAACGCGTGCGGTGGCTGTGTTCCGTTGGTGGTGGTCGGTTGTGGTGCGTGTTAAACAGGGCTTCGTTTCAGCCAGCAGGAGTATTGCCCGGTAGAGATGCAACGTTAGGCCAACGTTAGACCGACAGATTTCCACGTTTTAATGGGGGGGGTTGGCGACCCGAAAGATATCTCGATGGCACGCACACAACTCTGATGTTGCCCTCTCGCTGTGGTTACTCGTCACGTGTCACCTCCCGGAGTTTGGTGGTTTCCCCCAAAAACAAATTTTAAGACATTTTAACGTTGACCATGTAGGGGAGCTCTGTCGTGCATTTCATCCGAGTCTGCTAATTTGGTTGCGACCACGTCCAGTATCTACCTCGACGTGGCTCCGTCCAAGTCACATTCCATCTCCCAGAATTGTTCAACGACTTGGACTCTCGCGCCCAGTTGCTCGATTCCCACAGTTTGGTTCAAGGATAATTTTGCGTCTCGGTTTGCACCGTCGCATTGTGAGTGTTTTTGGTTCATTACATTTTGTTTGTGCGACATGTTCACTCCGTGAGCCGAAATGTATTGGAACATTTGCAAACTATATGAAATGCTACAACGTTAAACACGTTGTTTGGTGATGTAGCTGCAGCATTGGCAGTGGTGCACATGTATACATGACAATACACTCACACTAAACTAAAAACAAATATTTTACCAGGTAAGGCCCACCGAGTCATTGCTATTTTTCAGAAGCGACCTGGCCACAAATGATAGCTCAACAAAGTGGCTTATCACGTGGCAAATGTATTGCAGCCAAAATCTAAACGAGTGTTTCTAAATTTGCAAGAAAAACGGGAGGACCCGGAGAAAAATCCACGCGACCACGGGGAGAGATACATCGCAAACTCCAAATACACAGGCATCGGGATCGAACCCACGACCTCCTTTAAACCAGGCGAGGTAGTTAACATCTCACCACGGTGGCATAAAAATAACACCGTAGTCTTAAGCCAAAAACATTGTTGACGTTTCAGGCAATGGCCCTTCTGCGTTTGCCGGAAATGTCATCTACTATATATATTTTTCATTTTATGACCACTGTTATTGACCGATGTGTTGAGTTTGTATTGTAAATCTAACAATGTAAAATAAAAATATGCACATAATTTGCATAAACCAGAATCACTTCGCACGCGATTCAACGCTTGTCACGTGAGCGGAAGTTGATGAATCATTGCAGGCCGCGGGTTTAGATAGCACGAGTTCAACACACCATTTCCCAATTGTATGTATAGGTTAATTCATGTTGTAGAGCACTCTTTAGTCGTGTACTGTATAATGGTCTTGGGTCAGGTATAATATTGAGTCATCATACCTCCTTGAAGACGTGTACCCTGCTGCTCACCAGCTGTCTGTTGTATTTAAAACAGCTTAAGGGAATGTTTCCCAGAAGTACCCACGCCGGTATACATTATGCAACATTAGCCCAAACCCCCCAGTGATTTGATTAACTGCCGTTCCCAATGCTTAATGCGTTTTCTCATAACAGATCAATAACTGGGTTTTGCAATGAGCAGAAATCACTCCACTTACATAGACACAATATTATTTATCAGCACACTGATTCATGCAGTGCCATCAACACAGCGACCCGAGTGAAAATCCTGGCCACGACCTCATGCTGCGTATTGATGGCGTGCCTCCCCCAACCCGGACTGACCAGAGTGGTGAGGGGGATGGTTCAACACCCTCGCACGACCAATACGTCGTGGTACGGAATATGCCTTTATCGAACCAGCAGTGGACTCACAAAATTATTTTTCGTTTTAAAGCTTTCGTGACTGCAGGGATTCATATTATTGGTTCTTTGGGTAAAGTCACATTTTATGATTTCCCTTCTACGTGACTACCGAAAGAACCAAGAATGTCAAAATTATGTGCATGGTAATAACCCGTTGAATTAAACACCAAGTATTTCCCCTTCAACTTCGATCGGATGTATTGCCAAAGTGGAAATATCCACTTGAGTTGTCTAAGCAACTTGCTGAGCTTTTGTAAATAAAAACATGTTTATCAAATATATTTTCTGAATACTTGAGGTTTCCCTCGCTATTGCGGATTTGGTTTGTGACTTCGGGCTGCACATCCGGCTAACCAAAACATGGCTATATTCACTCAAATGCGACATTGTGCGTACTGTCGGCAGGCAGCCGTCTCGTACGGGTTTGCTTTTTTTCGAGCGTATCAACAGCATACAGCGAGGGAAACTTGTACTCGGCAGTTGATCAAGATGTCAATATCCGATAAGGCTGATTCACACATTTCCCGAAGGAAGTATGTGAAGGTTAATCCCAATCCTGACCTCTCCACTGTTGATCCCATAGCAATCATGCGAGACACATACAGCATCAGTGTGATGTAACAGAGCCTCCGTCTGGTTTTGAGCAAGGGCCATTAAACCTGAACGTTGTAAACTATTACGGCCTTTATAGTCTAAGAACTTCAAGAATGAACTTTAAACTCAAGAACCACAACTTTATTTTTGTAGTTTAACATCTTGTGACTGAATCGGGGCTTATTTTCCGAAAGATTTTAAATGTACCGAGACCACTTATCTTTTGCACATTTAACACTACAGTATGTCGCAAAACCAAACATCACATACCCACCCGAATTAACCACCAGTTCAATAGTTGCGCATGGACTATCCTACTTTTCTACATATCTGCCCATACCGCAGCCTCCAGTTGAGTTGGATATTCCTTTCACTCTGGAGGCTTCCGATAACACAGCGCACACTCGCAATCACAATCACGTAAATGTACACAATCGACCAGCAAACAAAAACCTTCTGCACGACGTTTGACAAGTGGGTTTGTATTTCATGCTATCCGTACATGGGAATTTATATACAGTACAAAGAGTATTTGCGAATGGATACAAAAATATACATCTGAACTGCATTCAATATGCGAATTTACTCTTTAAGCTTGTGATTACCAATGCATGTGCTACCGAGTATCTGTATCGTTATCAGAATATATTCATCCAAGCCGAAACCAATCGCTCAACCTTACCGATTACTTGGGGGGGGGGGGGCAACGGATCAACGTTGACGTCGCGCCACAACATCAGTACCGGGGGGGGGGGGGGGGGGCACCCCCCAGCGACGCTAATGGCCCAACCAGCAGAGACCGAATTATGAAAGCTGGAAGTCTACGGAGGCTCCCGGTCTCAGCCAAGCCTGCAGCTCTTACGTCATGCGCCACCCCACTCTGGTTCCCAAAGCGGGGCCCTGTGCTGCGCGTTCTATAACTCGGCGGGTCTGTGGACAGCCAAGCGCAGCAACTGCTTACGAGACGTAAAAGGTACACTTTTTTAAAGTAATGTTGTTCTGTGAACAACAAAGAAACTCCACCCTCCTTGCTTTTATGAAAAACTTGAAAACTCAATGTGTACAACGCACTATCTACGACAGGGCTTCTCAAACGTCAGTCCTCACAACCCATCGCTATGCAATTTTCATGTGTACCAACCATGAGGGTGTGCGTGCAACGTGTAAAATGCCATGATTTGAATCAGAAAGGAAATAGTTTAGAGCACAACAGCGCAGCGGAGGATACTACAGCAAATCCATTGTTGTGCCGTACACACTTAGAGCTCGCTTAGTGCTCAAGATGTGTATTCTCACCTCGAAGCGCTTTTTAGATTTTAATGTTCAGTAAAAATGTTCTCCAGGACAAGCAGCGTGATAAAGAATCGGCGTTCTGCAGCCATAGCACAAAGTGAGGGGTGCCTGTAGTGTATACGCTCCAGCCACTATGCTCCCCCACCTATACTAACCCTCACACTGATCAAATAATCCGTGTTATCAAGTAATACAGTGTTAATTGCACCCTGATACAGGTCACCGTTCGTCGATGGTGATTAACTGTGAGCAGCCAATTACAGGAATTGCGATTTTTGGATCCGAAAACGACATAACGTACACACATAATGTATGTTTATTAACTATGAATAACCCAACTAAGAATAGATATTATTGTGATTCATTAACACATTAAACCCCCACCCCTCTGGTCTTCGCAACCAATTGGCTCAAGTGAAGACATCACATTTACCCCCTCTAAGACCGAAACAGGATTTATTCACAATTCTGGCTGTCGCCCGATGATGCTGGTTGTAATTACCGGCGAAACGTTGTACTCGGTGTGCTGAACAAGTAGCTAATTGGCACGTTTTGTTGACGTGACAAACCTTACTAATTGGCCGTCTGGTGGTGGTTGGTTTAACGACACTTTGATGTCTACGCGATCGAACCCCAAAAAAACCTCTTACAAATAATCCTCAACCGACGAAGGCGTGGGAAAGGCTCTCGTGTCCAGCAGCGGACTGGGCAATCCGGACATCTGTGAGAAATAACCTTACAGCTCGATCGGATTCCTCCAGTATAAATATTCCAATTCTGGACTGACAAAACGGCCGTACGTGCCAAGTGGCAGGATGTGAGGAGTGGAGTCTGCGAAGCTATGCTCCAAAGCAGAGAATTCAGACCGTACCGCGATCCGCTTGAAAATAATTTCTGAAATGCCCCGGACACCAATTAAATTCATCAGACCTTGGAAGCCAATAGGATTCAGCCCGAATGTGTGCGTGGACTGACGACCACCTTGCACTCCGGGTTGCTTATCGGCGGCTGGGGGTCTATATGGTGGGCAGCGGGGGAGGGCCGTGCAGTAAAAACACATTGTTGTATTGTACTGTCTATGCTGTCACATCTATGCTCCCCACCTTCACCAACCCGCACTGACGGGCATCGTAAAGTATGGGCATATTAACAATCCAGCACTGGATTGACAAAAGGCCTGTGCGTCTTGTGGAGGGGGCTCCCGCAAAAGAATGTACGTTACGCGCTCATTCAAGCACTTCCATCTTCGGCGGTCAGTGGAGGCACCGTGGATCCCCGAGAAGACTCAGAAGATCAGCTTCTTGGCCAGGCACCCTGCAGCACCACCAACACGATGACGACAGTGTGAAGGACGGCCCAGTCAGTGACATTTACACTTCTAGAAGGCATGACAAATGTTAATCAACAGTGTCTAAATATTTGTCTGCTGCACTGCCAAGATGTGTATGGTAAAAGTCTAAGAGAAACCAGATATTGAGAGATATTTTTTACAGTATTTATTCAGCACACAGTGTTCTTTACAATTAAAACAAAGCAGAGCACATGGCTAGACCAATTTACATTGCCTGCATTCAAGTTAATATAGACAGTGCACCAATGTCATTCAACATATGCACATTTTAACCAGAAGCCAATCAAAATGTGGTCTAACAAGGAACTTACATTTGAAGTCGCTCTGGTGTCGTTTATTCCAAATGACCGTCACATCATTACCCTGAGCCTGCGACCAAATCACCCGGAACGAGCTCGACCTACTCAGATCTCGGACGTTAAGCAGGATTTGGGTGGCGCTGCGGCGGACGCGGTACCTGCTTCAGCGTCTTCGAACCTCTTCCGTTTGATGGTGCCACGCTCGTGCTCCTTCATGATTTCGCGGGCAAAGCTGGGCCGTGGCAGCTGGGCGGGAGGCGTGGGACCCGGCCTGTTGCTGAAGTAGGGCATCTGCATCGCCTGCACGTACGCAGGCGTTGATAAGGTGAACAAAAACGTTAGGAATAAATCGAGCACGAGCGTGGATTATCTAACTCTTTGCAACATGCGCTTGCCTTTGGAAATGTGAAAGTAACATTCAATTGAATTACTGTTTTGTAAAAACCAATAAAGTAATATTGTTAGCAGAATGATAGCCGATGTGTAGCTATCAAGGTAAAATGCGTTTACATATTTGCAAACAGTCCATTGTGCTGTGGTTTGTGCCTTGATTAAATTTGCAACAATTTAATCAATTTGATCACTTTTCAATACGGTCAGCTTCTATTTGTAACACAACTCTAAACCACAGTTTGGTTGATAATGGATCATTTGTATGAGTTATCATGCACCTCTTATTACGCGTGGACGAACACAGAACTACAGTTTGAGGATGAAAAGTAACATGCAAACCCCAAGTTTGGGGTCTTTTTAAAAAAAGGTGTTTTATAAATGGGAGAATGTGGTACTTTTTAGAGCTGATTTCCAGAAGATGATTGTGCCGTTTCCAAATGGGGAGAGATGTCTTCTGGAAGATTATTCTAAACGGCCGGTGGTGGCCTTCTGTTCTCTGTGTGGCAATGTATTGCTATGGAGAACCGTCTTTGGCAAGATGATTCTCAATTCTGCGCCTCCAACTTTTTGATTTTAAAATACTCTGCAGTGAGACAACAGTGTCTCATAATCCGGAAACTACAGTGATACATAAAGGATTTAACCCGAGTTGGAAAGCGTGAATAATGAGTTAACACGTTCAACGCAACCAGAGGCAGGCCTTTACAGTCCTTTCACAACGCTCCCGACTAGGCCAGACTGGCCGTGCTGCCGAGGGCATCACCTGCGTGGCAGTGAGGCGGGCAGCAGGGCTGAATGTAAAGAGGCCCTGGAGGAGTTCCAGGAGATCGTCGGTGGCCGCTGTGAAGATGTTCTCGAGCGGGGTGCCCGGGAAGGATTTGTACTCCACATAGTCAGGGAGGTTCGTCATCCCCTAGTGTGCATCACAGCACCGCAAGGCATCACAGCACAGATCGGAAGAGCACACCACAGAGTAAATTAATATTTGATTTTAATACATCAGTTGCTGAGCACAGGCTCACCAGGCACAAAAGACCAAGTGGTCAAACACAAACACCACCGTTAAAGGTGCAGTAGATAAGAGTTAATAGCTAATTGAAGTGAGCGAGGTTGTAAGAGCCTGGGAAAAGGGACGAAGGGATGGAGCAGAAAGCGAAGTGCTTTCACTTGCAGTGTGGTAGTTGAAAGCACCGAATGAGATGCTCCCATGTTATTTGGTGGTTGTTTGTTTGGCATTTGTAAGCAGCGGTTGCGCTTAATGGTAACATACCGGCCACAGCTCCTCCGTGGGTGTTCCAAGCGCTTCAAAGATTTTGCTCAGTTGATCGAGATCCGAATCACCAGGCAAGAACGGTGTCTGAAAAAAAAGAATCAATTTTATGAAAACTTCCAGTGCATTAAAAATGTGCGTAATTGGAATAGTGTACACTGGGTGGTAACGGTGATGTGATTGTTTAAGCATTACACTCTGAATTCAACAACTGGAGTTCGATTCCCAGCCATGGCTAACATGAGTGGCAAGAGATTTCTGAACTAGTCCTGGGCCTCTTCCTTCACCAACCCACCCCTGACCAGCATGAACAAGTATGATCTAACCCCAATGACCGAAAAAGCATGGGGAGGCCTTCATCTAGCAGTGTACTGACCAACGGCTGGACATACATAGCAACCAGAGAACCGGTCCAGTCACTGTCAATAAATATCCAACTTGCAGGCAGAGGATGTCAAGCATCTAACTGAAATAAAAACACAAAGACCGTCACTAAACTATTGCAAGCCCCCACTTGTGTAAGGGTGTGCGTCATGGGCAGTGAGATGCACACTGACGCAAGTAGAATCGTGAGATTCATGAGCGAGGTTCGCGTGCGAGTATCGTACGCGCTCGCAAAATGCGTACCCGGAGGAGCAGCTCGGCGAGGATGCAGCCGACGGCCCACATGTCCACCCCGACTCCGTACATCCGAGCTCCAAAGAGCAGCTCCGGAGAGCGGTACCACCTGACAAGGGCGCACACATATACACATTTATCCGAAACTTGCAAATGGTAGGCACGCACACATGCAATTCTTTTTTTTTGTCATTATATACAACAGCACTTAGAAATTCTAGCTGGTAAGCAACATAACAGTTCAGATCTTGACATAATTACAGAAACCCCCCTACCATAAACTACTCCTGGAGTTTTATCCATATGCATTTCAGTTTCAAATGGAAACCTGGGGAAATATAAAGTCACTTTTTCAGAACCATATCCAGTTTCACATGATTATCCTTCAGGCTACTGATATGATTTTCTGTGGCTAGCCAGTGTCTGAGCGTTTCTATTTTTCAAATGTCAGGCAATGTCTTGGCAAGTCGTAGCCTGACACTCGGCATTCTGTAACTTAAAGCTGCAAAGCAGCTCCACGTTCCCACAGCAAGAGACAAATGTCATTTCATTTACCGCGTCACCACCTGGTGGGTGTACACTCTGCTTGGACTGCCGAAGGACTTGGCCAAACCAAAGTCGGCCAGTTTGAGCACCCCCTGCTCATCCAGCAGAAGATTGTTGGGCTTCATATCCTGCAAATATTACAAATGAACCAGTCAATTCTCCATTTTCCACGGTAATGGGGGGGGGGGGGGACAGCCCAGATAAAACAAAAGCACAGACAATGCAAAGCATATTTAAATTATCATTACAATATGCGTACATGAATCAATTTCTCATCTGTAGAGGGAAGGTGATTCTCGATTAATATATCTTATATTTGCGCACGAAGGTCTTCAAAACTTAACTGGACATATAACCACTCTGTTGGCAAGGCTCTGCCCTTTATTCAGATGTCTTTTTGTGTTTGTTGGTTGAGCACATGACGTTGATCCACAAGAACGGACTCCTCCGTACGTAGCCAACCGATTGCCACAGTGCGCAAATAAGTCCAACACACATTAAATTAATAGCAGACTTTTCTGATGTAGTGGTAACGTTATGATCACACAAACACGGAAGCCACAAATTCTTCCCAGAACGCCCCGTGGCGATGTGTCGGGGTTTCTGTTAGCTGAAGCCATGCGGCCCTTCATGGCGTCTGGCAAAGTTGAATGTCTCCTTTATTTTTGTGCAAGTGGCGAACTTAATTTTAAGGCCAAATTCTCACCTGTAGCTCGGAGAGGCGATTCGTGTTTAAAAACATACGTACAAAGCGGGTGAAAACGTAGAATGTGCCACCGTTTTATTGTTTCTTAAAGCAATTGGTTTGTATACGGTCACATGGGCCTCTGAGTCGCTGACCATCGATAAATGAGGAACAGCTGATAATTGAATCAAGGTGCGCAGTGAGCATGGTTAATCCACAACTCGGATAATCCACCCACAGATAGAGCATTAACTTTGTTATTTAAAATTAATTTTAATATAAATTCCTAAATGTTTTGTCAATGCTGCAATAAAGAGTTTAGGTTTGCCAGTTTTGGTACTGTGAAATTATTCAACGATTTATGTATGTATTATATCTGTCACCATTAAAATGTAAATAAGCCGCCCTATCTTGAATATAACTGTCAAGTTCACGTCTCAGTAGTTAAACATTCCATGGCAAAAAATGTGAATAACCTGCAGAAGAGCTATACACACAATTCCAGTTTTATTTGTATTAATTACACAACTGCATGAATAGAAAAGTACTATGCAATTAATGTTGTTCAAAAAGTAAACACACCTCTCCCATACAGTGTGCAATATAGGTTACAAAAGATACCCACTAAATACAACAAATGTATAACCTTACACAAGCCTTAGGGCATACCAGGCCAGGAGTTCACCTAAATGTTGTGACGAGTGACCTGTTTGCGTCCCGTTTTAACTTTCAAACGAAAGCTGAAATTGTTTCTGCATTAGCCCTGTCCATCTGTCTTTTAAAGATGATCTAATAAGAGTTAAAACTATTATATAAATTTAACATAGCAGCAAATAAAAATAAGAAACAAAATTAGTTTTACATTTTAAGTGTAACAGAACATTAATATTTTAATTTGGTTGCTATAATGAGCATGCCGGGCATAACATATCATCTCTGTTGAAATGGATATTTGATCGCAAGCAAGTATGCATTAATATTTTATACAAAATTAGTGTTGCTATTTTTGTTTAATGCACAGTATGAAGATAGTACTGCATTGCAGGACAACAAAGCACAAGCATGAGCCACCTACCCTGTGTAAAATCCAGTGCATGTGCAAGTATTCCAGGCCCTGGAGGGTCATCACCATGAAGGACTTGATGTTCGCAGGACTCAGAACCAGGCTTGTATCCTTAACAATTACCTGTAAACATATCGCTCGCATTAATATTTAATTAGAAACCATTCACAAGTTGAAATGTTTGCAAACAAGTGTGGCGAGGCACACGATTGGAAAATATACTGAGATAGGAAGAAAAAGAACATCGATTTAGCGGATGTAAGCAGCTTAGAGGCATCATCAGCTTAATGTAGGCTTTCGCGACCAATATTATTCATATTAGAGGTTTTTCGCTTAGATCACGTGAACATGAATGTGTCGTTAAACCCACCACCACCCAACAGGCAATTAGTAAGGTTTGTTGTGGGTTTACACTCTTCAACACACTGGTGTGCTGTACTCGTAATTGATTGGCATGTTTTGTTCACACGACAAAGCTTACCAATTGGCTGTAGCGGGTGGTGGCGGGTTTAACGACACATTTATATTTACACAATCTAACCCCAAAGAAACCTCTATTATGGAGAGACATCGTGTTGACTTCAGAAAATTGAGAGGTCTTGGGCACAACACCTTTCTGGAAGGGATTACGGCTGGTGGTTAAAAATAAATGATAATTTCTGCGAGCGCAGAGGTCATGATGAGCAATGAATCATCTCAAGTTCTAGGTGGATCGTTACATCGCAGGAGCATGAGAGATGGAAACAGCTTGGGAAGGCCTTCATCCTGCAACGGGAGGCCGATGATAATGAAAACGATGCAAATAATGGTGAACATGATATCTGTTTGAATTACAATTTAAGCAAAACCACCTTCAGAATTAAACACCTAAAAATAAAAATTACCCTTCAACAGTATAGTGTTCATGTCTTTTTTGCCTTACCTCGAGGTCAGTGTCCATGAAGTCAAACACCAAGCTGATGTTTGACTTGTGGCCAAAGGCATCTAAGAGCTAAATAAAACAAAGAATTTGAGTACGAAATAACATCTTGCTCATGCGCACAGTGCAATATGACCGAGAACTCATACTGGTCATGTGCTGCATTTAAAAAAATGAATGCTCTTTCACAAAAGTGCATTTTGTCACTTAAATATTTCCACCACTTACTCCTATGATGTTGGGGTGGTTCAATTCCTGCAGCAATTTGATTTCCCGTAGGGCAGTCCTGTTAATGCCTGCGAAAGAAGCATTCAAAATATGCATCAACATGTGCAAGTTACGGCAATGGAACTGTTAAGATGCAGCCAAAGAATAGTGATATTGAGCATACATTTAACATTTAAATAGACCTAAATACACAATGTACCTATTAATTGTTTAATTACTGCAATAATTACTTACCATCCTTTGCCTCTGTTCTGTGTCCCAGTTTTATCTGCAGCAATCAAGCACAGATCAAACATATAAAGTAATGATTGGGTTGGTACGCAACTTTTGTTATTGTGCTACACAATGGCAAAACAGAACATTACATAAACTACAGCGGTGTAGATAAAGATATTATTAGGATTAAGTTCCAAATTGAATAAACGAATCAGGCCTTAAACATCGGGAACAGATGTGTTTGTTTGATATACAGAATGTTAATCGTCTCTCTTACCACGCTAAGTAGGCTCTGAGCCATTATACTATCCATTGCGTTGTATGCAAAAATCTTCATAAAATCAAACAACAGAGAACAAACCAAGTATTTGCAAAGCAATGGGCATTAATGAACCAACCTTTTTTATTGCAACAATTTTGTTCGTTACTTTGTCCATGGCCTTGTAGACCGTGGCAAACTGGGATGAAAGGGGGTGGGGGGAGGGAGCCAGTTCAAACACTCACACATTTCAAACAACGCAATCACCAAGGCAACAACAACTAATAGGGTTATGCATCTGCACGAATGCTTTTAACTGGACCTATGAAATGCTCCTATGAGCCTGAGCACTCTACTAAAATGCCATCTATCCCACGAATTATATCAGAGTAATCATTTACAGCCATGTCAATTCACTGCTGTGTTAGCCATGGGGGTTTGTGAGCATACTTCATCATGCTGGTCTGTGTGGGTTGTAACGCAGCTGGGGGTGGAACTTTATATACAGTACTAGCTGTACTACCCGGTTTTGCCCGGGACTTGGATCCACCACGCGCGGCCGCCTTTGTCTCCCCAGTGGCGATGTTCACACACCACAGCAGTTACTCGTTTGAGGCTGAGCCGACCTAGGGGAGGCCCAGGACTGGTTGAAATAATCGTCACCGGTGGTGGCCGTGAGCAGGAATCGAACTCGGGTCGCCGGGTTCGTAGCGCAGCGCGCTAACCGCTACACTACAATGCGTTACGCTTCCACACACACACAGACACACTACAATGCGTTACGCTTCCACACACACACAGACACACACACAGACACATACACAGCGCGCTAACCACTACATTACAATGCGTTACGCTTCCACACACACACACAGACACATAGACACACACACAGATACACACAGCGCGCTAACCGCTACACTACAGTGCGTTACGCTTCCACATGCGAGGGTCACGTGACAGATTTGACGTCACAGCTCACTTGCCGTGCAAAAAATAAATGCATTATTGAGCTCCCCCCCCCCAAAACAAACAAAAGTGTATTTTTATGTTTGCATGGTGTACAGTCTGGAAAGTACCCACATGGCAAATTTCAAGTTTGTTGCATGTCGGGAAGTACGCTAAACATTTTGAACAGACACACATATTCACAACTTTGCCTTTTATATATATGGAGATATAAATAACTTTTATTTTTGCAGGAATTTTTTTTTAGATGGGTCCTAAATGGTGATATTTGGCAAATGTATTGATAATTTTCCTTCACGATAATGTGTCTCCATGCCAAAAACAACACTGCAGAACAGCTGCTAATTTCCCTTTCGTGGCCCTATACCGAGAGTGGCAACTCCACATTCTCGTGACAGAGGCCGGTCCCTTCATTTTTGTTTTAACTTCAAAGTCGTACTTATTTTCTCGAGCCCGATAGACAGTCGATTTAAACGGACACGTGGGCACAGCGCCACCTGGTAAATTATAATGAAAGTACGTGTGTTTGTTGTAAGCTCGGCAGAGATTAGCATTAGCCTGCTGGATTCGTGCTTGATGGCAATGCAAACCTTTGCAGGTTGCAATGGACTGAGCAGCAAAATTAATTATTGTATTAATGTACAGTACTGTTACGTCAATGTTGCTGCGTCTACTACTCGCAATGACCAGCGTGGTGAAGTATGACCGAACAACCCTCATGACCGGGCAGCGTGTGGATTGGCAGCGGCGTTTTTTGGCGTCTTTTAACAGTTGAATTCGCAAGCACTGTATTTACACTTGCAAATGTTCCACACTTCATGGCAAACTGAAATGAAACAACAAAAAATCACGACGTTTTGGCCACAACACAAGGGGCCTTCATCAGGTGAAGGGATCAGGCTGTCTCGAGGACAGCGCTGTCCTGTTCCCTTCACCTGACGAAGGCCGCTTGTGTTGTGGCCGAAACGTCGTGATTTTTTGTTATTTTATTTTTTTACCTACGCGACTTTACCGAATAGAACCAAAGAGTATGGATCCTAGCAGTCACGAAAGCTTCAAATCTAAAACTGAAATGACATCATTATCAACATTTTCCCTTCTACTACTAATAATTGACAATAATTTTGACGTACATTGCATCACAAAAATAAACTTTTATCGAAGTAAATACATTGTAAAGCAAATCGATTATGCATAAAAATATTAAAGGAGCGCCGCACGGTTTTATGTTTTAGTTACAAATGTCGAAAAATATTGTGATCAGCTGGTGACTGCTGAACAAAAAAATGTATTTTTCACTTTTAAGTGCACTTAAAAATAAAACCGTTGTTTAAAGAAAAAAATCATTTTTTCCCAGGATTTTTTTCCCCCCGTACGTTTTTCCCCAATGTGGCATATAAAGGGCAACTCAATCGCGAATGACCTTTTTGGTCCATCACCACGTAAAATCCCGTACACAGAATACGCAATCTTCTCCGCGTTGGATTAGCGAAAGAGCCCCCAACGACTCACAACTACTTAGCGTGACTTTACCCAACAGAACCAAAGAGTACTTAGCGCGAGTCGCTGCGGCTGTTTCGTGCACGGAGCGACGTCGTTACGGTCGCCCACCCGCCCTGGGCCCTCCCAACAAAACACGGCGATGGACAGGGCCTCCGCTTCAAGCCTGCGGGGGCCCTGCGAGTGCCAAGGACGACGACGAGCCCCGGGGGAGTGTGTGAGGGGAAAGCAAGGAGCTTGGCTCGTACCTGTCCCTCGCCAAGGAAGTCGATCTTGTCGTAGCGCTTCGCTCGACTCTTCGCCGCCGCTGCCATAGCCGCCGAACCATTTAAAGCGGCGCTTGCTGCCGCAGCCATCGCTGCCTCGGATTCCCTACAGCGGATGGTGGCGGCGGCACGACGCACACGCCGCTTTCTATTGGCCCGGAGCCGCCGCGCCGACCAATGGGAGGCGCCGAGACAGGAGCGGTCGGCTAATCCGCGCTAGGGAATGTGAGAGGGGGGTGGGGTCCCAATCACGTGGTCGGCCCGTTGGGGAGCCGTCGCGTGGGCAAGTTTATGACAATTTTAATATCGCGACCGTGCATTTAAAATGTTTAAAGGGTGGCGATTTAAGAGAAAACGGAGACACGCGCGCGCACGCACGCCCCTGCTTGTTTGTCGCCGAGACAACCCAGATGACCCCGATGCTGCCCACTCGAATTGGCCTCTTTGAAGCGTTAAACAAACGCGGGGCTGACTTGTCGACAATCCGAGGTCGTTGAGTTGCCATGGCGACGGGATGCAGGCCCCAACGGCCCATTGACAACCCGATTAAGTTGATGTCAGCGCTGCTCCCCTCACGACAAACCATCTTCAAGTTCAATTTTGACTTAAAACTTTCGCTACCGCAGGAATTCATATTCTATAGTTCTTTCGGTAAAGTCACGTAGATAGAAAAAAAATAACAATAAATACATAGTTCATAGATAGTTCATTTATTTGGTATAGCCCTGTGAGCCATTCGGCTCTTGAATCGGGTGCAACCTCAACAAACAAAAACATGAACAAGAAAACATCTTAAAGTGACTATATGTGACTGTGCAAACAGAAAATCCAGGAAAAATATCAAAATATTCCTGAAATAGCACCGTACACCAACGCTGTGTGCAAAAATCGCAGTGGGATGCAAGTCAAACAACAACAACAACCACAAGACAACTAAGATTAAGGCCATCAGTCTAACTCCGTACTACAATAAACAAAAACATGGCCAAAACAAACAAAAAACTTTTCGAAATCACCAAAATAAAAGCCATAAATGCAATGTAACAGTGATCATAGGGACTGTGACCGAATTTTTAACAATAAACTACATAAATAAATTATAACACCAAAATCTAGAGCCATATTTTAGGCCACTGAATAGCAGTGGCAGCTAGGGTTGTACAACTCCTTTAGAGCAGTTTTGAGTGAAGATCTCATAGGTAGTGATTCAAGTTGCAGTTTATTGGCAATAGCATTCCAGACCCTGGGGGCATCAATAGCAAAGGCCCTTCCTCTAGTTTTTGTACGGCAATAGGGAATGTGAAGCTGGTAAATGAGCGAAGACCTGAGGTCAAATTTGTTCTTTGAAACAGAGAGGAGATCCAGCAGGTAGTCTGCGGAATTTTTTGTAAGTACATCGTGAATAAATAAGATAAAATACAAAAGTGAATAAAAAATATCACGACGTTTCGATCGCAACACAAGCGGTCTTCATCAGGACGGTGACGACCGCTTGTGTTGCGATTGAAACGTCGTGATATTTGTATTCACTTTATTTTTATTATTTTATTGTTATTTTTTTTTCTATCTACGTAACTTTACCGAAAGAACCATAGAATACATCTTCAACGTTACCGTATATTTTGTTTATTCCCCTACCCCACCCCCCCCCAAATGATAAAAGATGCTCTGGAAATAAATAAAAGTCCTCGAAACTCAACACATTCTCCTGCGGAGGGAGCTGGTAAGAACGTTGGGTTGCTCGGTCAATGGCCAGGGTCAACAACGGCGGCACCACGTGGTGTATTCCGCAAATATGCCCGACTGTGGGGGCGGGCACAAGCCGGCGTGAGTAGGTTAAACGTTGAGTTTTATAAGGGCACCACGGGGTGACCAGCCCCTCCCCACCCAGCCCCACCCCTCCCACCCCCCACCCAGCCCCTCCCCACCCTCCCCACCCAGCCCCTCTCCACCCCTCCCACCCCCCACCCAGCCCCACCCCTCCCCTCCCCACCCTCCCCACTCAGCCCCTCCCCACCCCTCCCACCCTCCCCTCTGCACCCAGCCCCACCCCTCCCATTTTTGGATGCACGACGGACGGACGGACACAATAATCCCCTGTGGGCTGGTGGTGTAACCAGGAGGTTCCTACCAGTATAAAAGTGTTATTTCTAGATACGGGCACAAGTACACGGCGATAACCGGATTATAAGACGCTCCCTCCAACTTTTGTGTGAACAGTGCTGCAATGTTAATGTGACAAGATGTCGCGATGGCGGATGTCGACTGTGTCGTAATCCCTCCACCACCTGACACAGCCGATGATACATTGTGGCAACTGCCTAATTGATGCTTGTTACACCCTTTCATTTAACTCACTGTCTGTTGTTGTTGTCGTTGTTGTTGTATCCTCAAATCTTGTAACTTAATTTTAATCCACTTCCCAATGTGGTATCGACTGCAAACTTGGTATACTTATGTAAAAAACATTTTTAAACAATATTTTTTATATGTTATGTTTCGGCTTTGGTCTAATTGTCCACGCTCAACTAACGTTGGCTGTAATTGGCCAGAGTCCCTTACGTTATGGGCAAACTTCGGGGCCACTTCCTGGAGTTGTGGAGTTCTTCCATTACTAGTACGGTACATTTTATGAAAGCGTGTTTTAATTTTTTTTAAATATTACTTATTTTTTTAACTGCCAACGAAAAGGTCGAATCCCAATCGTTAAATGTGGGTGGCTCTCCCAACACATACCCCGGTGGTGCTGAATCAGGGATTGGCACGTTTTGTTCATGTGTCAACTTGATTAATCGGCTGTCGGGTGGAGGAGGGTTTACGACACACAGGGAGTCTTATAAGCCAGTTATCCATCAACTGGTATGGGGTTTCGGAACGTATAGTTTTACTAATTTCGGGTAGGAACGATTGGCCGCCTAAGTAGTATGACGGATATGTGTGGACTGGCCTGTGTACATGCAGTGTGCTTCAATTTTTTAAAACACGTGTAATGACATGATGCCACCTGCTGGCTAGAAAAGGGAAGCACTGGTACAGGCACTGCTTAAAAACATCCAATCTGAAAGGGAGAGGTATCTGGGGCAAAGGTAATGGGCGGGGTTGGGCGAGCTCGAAGGTTCCACGGTAGGGCGTGGCCAGGGGCGGAGCCTAGCCGCGCCTAGGGGTGATATAAGCGGGGGCAGACGAGGGCTTGGGGTTCGCGTGTGGAGTCTTGGGTCCGGACTGCGTCGCTGCTCGCCGTCATCTCTCTCAGTCGTCCGGTCACGTGGAAGATCTTCTTGCGGGCTTCCATCACCCTCCTCGGCACGGCGCCGGTCAGCGGCGTGGCCGAGTGTGGACGGTGGAACCGCGCCGAGTGATCGGCCGTGTGTGTGTTGCCAGTAGAGACGCTTACATGCTAATGTTGTACTCAAGAGTGAGGAGATAAGGTTGGCCCGTGTTGTGCCCGTATAAGAATAAAGAAGAAGTACCCTCTACACGACGTGTCGCGGAAGTCGCTCATTACACTTGTGTAGTGACATCGCGGACGTCACTGTGTAATGCCGGCCCCGGAGAGGCACGGCGTGCGATGGACTCAGATTGCGGACACCCCGTATATGTGGGTGTAGTACCGACCCTAGAGGGGCTCGGTGAGCGCTGAGTCATAGCACTGAGTGGCACCACGCTCGGTGTGCAGTGCCGACCCCTACAGGATGGGGTGTGTCAGCCATGGAATGGGGTTACTAAGGGCCGTGGCACTTTGGTTGACCCCGGAGGACACGTGCCAGGCAAATTCTACACAGGGGCCCCAAGTGGGGGCTAGGGGTGGTCACGTGTCGGGGCGAGATCCTGCGAGAGGATTCGAGGTGGTCGTGGCCAGCCTGTTGTCATCTGAAGATCTAAGTTCGACGTCCGTTTAGAGTCACCAACACGTGGACCGGGACCCAAGCTGGGGTCCTGTCCGTTGTAGCTACTCCCAGTGTAATTAGTGTAGTTAGCCTGGTGGTTACGTAGCTATTTACGGTGTAATTAGTGTAGTTAGCCTGGTGGTCCACCACCATAGGTTGGTATCTGAAGGGGCAGTTACCCCTTTGTGTTGGTATCAATAAATGTGTTTCCTCCAAAGAGTACGTCCGACACAGTTGAACTCACTACACTTGCAACAATACCACAAGAAATGTGCCTCCGGTCTCTGGAGACCACCTGGAGAAGATTCCAGGCCATGTGATAATGATGGTGAACAAGTGGATACTCTGACGTTTTGAAGCTATTAACAAACATTTGTTATGTTAGTGTATTATCCGTTGTTTCCATTAAAAATTAAAGTCCCATAAAAAGTGTACAAATGTTTTGAACCACTCTGTACATACCTCAACTCGCAGGGGTGTGTGCATACCCACACTTTAACCCACCATCATACAAGACATGCCGTTGTGGTGTACCTCATTTATAACTGCTAGGTGCACAGGATACTTTAATATATTTGATAAACTTTTGTGTTTATAACTGCCACGCCATAAGATGGAATGGAACCAGCGACCTCTACTTTGTACGTCCAAGCTGCTAACCATTACAGCACGAGCAGCTCCCAAGTATGAGTGAAGTATACAATGCTAGAGTGTTGACGTTTTTATTTAAAAAAATAAATGATCACGAGTTGGGTGTCTTTTAAATTTACTATCATTTGTAAAAGTTTTTACGCAAGACATCTGTCAAAGGGAGTCTTGGAAACTATAAAGTTAAAACATACATCATACTGTACGGTGTAATATGGCATTGCCTTAATTTCCTGGTAATTGTTTATTTATATCTGCAGGATTAAAATGTTTTATAGCATTACAAAGTAAAACTTAAACTTGAAATAAAACACCTCTGCTCATTTTAAAACAAGGAATCTCTCAAATTGACATTATTTACATTTGCAATCAGCGCTGTCCAATATATTAATACAAAAACAAATGCTCCTTTTTGTGAATATATTTGCGCCGTATTTAGATGTTTATGTTTTATTAAACAAGATATCAAGACATCAAGAAAAAAACTACTGGAAATTTTCCCAATCATACCTCATACAGCTGACATCACTTTTTGCACACAAAAGTCATATGAGCATAGACTTACCAATTCAATGCTGCTGAATGGTATATAAAATATGTACAAACAATGCACCATTTATTTATGTACAATACAAAATGTTAACCGAAAACAACTTTTCAAGTCTAAGAATATCAGAAAATAAAGCCTGCGTATAATGTCGATCTGGTATAAAGAGCAGAATTTAAATAAAATGATCATGAGAGATTAACTCGGCAGAAAGTTATCAGGTGTGCAATGCCTCATCAGTCATTATTGTGGGCTGGCAGCTTCCTCTTGACCCAAGAACAGTGTAAGAGTGTCCTGCTGCACGCCGAGACCTCCATTGTCAACGTTCTGCTATTAGCTCGCCAGCAGAATTTTGTCAATATTCTTGCCGTCTTCGAGCAACGTCGATGCCTGCAGGAAACAAAACATTTGTCAGAGATGTAGCCTCTCCCTGTACAAAAGCAGCTCGATATTAGCAAGCCTAACACAAGGTTCTTATATGATAAACAGAATCTTGCATTACCCTGGTGGTGGAAGCAAAGGATAACTTACAATGCAAGTACACTACTTTGCATATAAGGACAGTTGGACTTGCTTCCAAGGAGAGTGTGATGACATCGAGCTCCTACTCTCCTTTATTTACACATTTAAAATACTGAGTAGAAATAAAAAGTGTGCATGCAGTGATGCGCTTACACAGTGCTAAGCGTATAACCAAATTCTAAGTCAAGAGCATTTGAAGATTCCGAAACATTACTTATTTACAAACATGTTTTATTTACAATCAATTAGCTAAGCCTGTAACCAAACCACACGGCACGTGCCCGATTTCGTGAGATCTCAGAAACTTAAGCAGCCCTGGAGGCTGGATAGTGCTTGGTCAATCACCCTTCATAAAACAAGCAACTGCAGGCACATGCGGTGGGCAGCAAGGTACGGTGGAGCAAATGTTTAAAGTTGTACCGAACTATGTTCCCACATATATGCTCTCCACCTTTACCAGCCTGCACTAACCAGCTTGGTACAATATGATAAAAAAAAACTACAACCTGCATGATATTGGCAGCCCCCTCATCCAGTGGATTGATAAAAGGGCTGTGCATGTACACTACTGTCTGAAACCTGGCTAATTTGTGAAAAAAGGGATTAAGACAAAAATGAAAGGATAACATCACAACACAACCGTACACACTAGAATTGTTGGGAAAACTTACGTTGTTCATATAACATTGTTTTAGTAAGTTTTAGAGGCACTTGGTTTGGCCCGATTTTAGTATAGATTTATACATAAAATCTTTATCTGTATTGTATTGATTGTTATTAGGATCAAACATAGAAATGGAATTGTTTGCATTTTTTGTACGCAGCATGGACGGGGTGGTGCTTTTTCTGTAGGATTTTATTGTTTATGTATGTGATGTTTAAAATTATCTACAATGAATTTTAGGTGTATCTTGTAATTTTATTGTTTGTTGCGGTTGCACCCAAATCAAGAGCCAAATGGTTCACAGGGTAAATCCTAATAAATGAAACTGAAAAACTGATGTGAAAGAAAGCCTCACCTTCCTGAATTCTTCCTTTATCTTGTCAAATCGACATTTCTCATACACGGCCCTGGCAGTGTTGCTCTGGTCAAAAGGTTCTGAGAAAACATTAAAATTATTCAGGAGAGAATAAAATTTTACCTTGAGTATAAAGTAAAAAAAAACATTTGTCAAAAGTAATGTATATGTCAATAATGGCAGATGTAAAATCTTTATTTCGTTTATAATATTTGCAACTCTATGAACATTTCCAAAACAAGTTTTTTTAATGATATTACATATTCCTGCGGAGGGAGCTGGTAGGAATGTTGGGTTGCTCGGTCAATGGCCAGGGTCAACGGCGGCATGGTGTATTCCGCAAATATTCCCGACTGAGGGTGGGCACAAGCCGGCTTGAGTAGGTTAAACGTTGAGTTTTATAAGGGCACCACGGGGTGACCAGCCCCTCCCCACCCAGCCCCACCCCTCCCACCCCCCACCCAGCCCCACTCTCCCCACCCAGCCCCTCTCCACCCTCCCCACCCAGCCCCTCCCCATCCAGCCCCTCCCCACCTAGCCCCTCCCCACCCAGCCCCTCCCCACCCTCCCCACCCAGCCCCTCCCCACCTAGCCCCTCCCCACCTAGCCCTTCCCCACCCTCCCCACCCAGCCCCACCCTCTCCACCCAGCCCCTCTCCACCCAGCCCCTCCCCACCCAGCCCCTCCCTCCCCACCCAGCCCCTCCCCGCTAACCTTTTGGTTACATTAATGTCTGCATATAAGCTTGGATTCAGAAATTCAGAAACAAAACAAATAAAAGAGATATTAACAGTTACAGCAATGCACCTTCAATGCAAATGTACTTGTTTCTCCACTCATCATCCAGGGTTCTGCTGATGATCCTGCCTTCCCTCAGCGAAATGATCGAGTGCTCCCAACTGCACACACACACACATCAGTCAATTTAAGTCCACATGCTAACACAAACAACTTGAGAATGACTTCTGTTAAAAAAATGTGACTCTATACATTTCCTTGTGAGAAGTGCATATGTGAAAAATTATTAAGAAATACAAATTAAAAGTACCTTTTCTGCAGTTCAAATCTACACAACTATGAAAATACATTGCTCAAATAAAACACGTCAAAATTGTAATAACTATTTTATAGAGCAGATGTAATTGTCATAACATCCATCAATGTAAAAATTAATGCTGAAGAGGAAGCTGCAGCAATTGCTCACTCAAACGTGGTGGTGTAGTACTTGAAGAAGCCAAGCAGGAGCTCGCCCAGGGTGAGTTTGCTTTTTGAAGTGAAGGTCGGCACGCTGTTGGCACTGATTGGTATCTGCCAGATTTGGAGCCTTGAGTTGAAGAGGCCCTAGGGAAATCGCATCGCAAACGACGCCGTGTTACAATACGCGTGCTTTGCTAAAAACTGAGCTGATTGGGGAGCGAGGGGGGATAATGTGAAGGCATCCAACACATTTGAGTGCTTTTCATTTGAGCCATGATTGCACCTTAGCTCATGCAAATAAACACGTGGTGTATTTCACTGTATAGGTATATGTATATAAAAACATTTTGGACAAACGTTACAAGGGTGAGAATACATCTCCGAAGATAAATGTGATAATTGAGAATAAATTATGTCGTAGACTGGAGGATACTAAAACAAGAAGCTTGTATTGTTGCATATCCTACCGGGTATTCTTTTTGCAGACAGGGCACTACTGGCTCTGGAAGAGCTGTAAAATGTACACAAAAAGTTGATCAAATAGCTTTCTTCAAAATCAGTGATAGCCTAGCAAATCGATGCTGTCCCCTGCTAGTGCTCCATGCTAAAATATTCAGTGTTGTATCTTAAGGGGTTCTCTCTAAACTATTTTTTTTTATTTTACCAGGTATGGCCCCACTGAGCGATATAGCTCATTGTGAGAAACGACCTGGCCACAAGTGATAGCTCAATAAAATGGCTTATCATGTGGAAATTAATAGCAGTCAAATATTATAAAAGCATGTTTCGAAATGTGGAGGGAAAAACCGGAGGACCCGGAAAAAAATCCACAGACCACGGGGGAGAACATGCACACTCCAAATATACAGGCATCAGGGTCGACATTGAACCCAGAACCTCCTGTATACCTAGCGAGGTAGTTAACATCTCACCACCGTGGCGCATTATAGTTGTCATACAGATTCAGCATTTCAGCCGTTGTCAAGTTGCCAATGGACAGTTACACAGCTCGCAAGACAGCAAAGCCTGTACACTGCTCACGGTAAACATGCTCATCTCCATGCTCATGCACAATTAAAAACTAAAAAGCTCCAAAACATGGAACGGATTTAATTGTTTTCATAAAAACACATTTCCCCCACATTTATTTTCTTCAATACTTTTAAAGCGACACTTAAAAAGGAATGATCGTTTATTTCAACAGCGAACCACATCGACTGGCAATGAGAGTGCTTGCAGCTTGCAACGACTCGTACATTGCTTCTGTGGGTGGCCATGCGACCTCCCCACTGCAGCCTAAGAAGCGATTACAGTGTGAAGATGCACTAATCACATCTGGATCCAAGGAACTTAACCGCACTTGGGGCGTTGCCAACATCACAGCTGTGATACAGTCTCGCTTGACAATTCTAACGGCTTGGTTAGACTTTCACTTGGTCGCAGAAATAAAAAAGCGCTTACTCTGCAGGAAGTGCAGCACCATAAGCACGAGGCTGTAGCTACTCAGGGTGCCCTGGCTGGCATCGTTGATGCTCCTCTGCATTGCCCATTGCTTGATGACCAGGATTAGCGGCTTCACTCGCTGGTCGACTGCGGCGTCAAGCAAAACAAAAGGCGAGAATTAAAGGTCTACCGTGCAACTCCTCATACAAACAGCTTACATGAATGCTCTGCACAATGTTAATTAATCAATTGTACATGAGGCTTACCTTTCGAATAGGCCTGAAGCAAGAATGTGTTTCTGATTCCAATAATGTTGTTGGCATTGAGGTCAAACTCCACCCTACTTCAGGTGCAAGAAATAACAAAACAAACTTAAGTTTTCACGGAACTTATAATCGGTCAAAATAAATGCAAGAAATTTGAGAGGAAGTTAGAAACTAACCTTGTCTTGTCCCTGAACTTCACAATTGGAACCTTTGCACGGATCAGTTGCATTTTTTCCATATACGCTGTGAATAGAACGCAACATATTATGGCTTTTTAAATGCTGAAAACATTACGTTAGAATCTGCTCACATTGCAAGTCCGGAGAGACCATATGTGGAAGTGTTAATACAGGTGAACTTGTTACTTTAGCTTTGTGTGCATGGGGACATTTTTTTACCACCCTTCTGTCCAGCCAGCTGTTCCCCAAAATGTACAGCAATGGATATGAATTGAAGTCAAAGATTAATTGAAGGAGATTCTGGATAAAATGAATATCAATAGCCTTGGATAGGGGGATGGGTTCCATTTTCAATTTGAGACACCTCTTCCCATGCACCATACACACACTGGCATTTACCCTGCATTCAGGTACAGCAATAAGTCCACGACCGATGTGCGAGCTGGTGTCAAACCAGAGGCATCTACACATATGCCTCTTGTTACTGGAACTCTCATGGCACAAACTACAGGATGGACACTTACGCAGCCTCCACATGATTCTTAGCACTTGCTGGAGGAGCTGCAGAGCTTCTGTCCGTTGGTTTATCTGCCATGTGCACAGAAACATATTGTTGATGTAAGTATTGCTTATTTGAATGGTGAAGTTTTATGTACAGTCAATTCTCAATGAGAGGAAAGATAAATTTAAAAAACATGGATATTACAAAAAACATGCACATTAATTTATAAACATATTTATTGCTTATGTAGTGACTGTGTGGTGCCAGGCTTACGAAGCCACGGCAGATAATGTTGGCATTGTGTAGCCCGCTTACTGGGCGTAGTACCAGCCCTAGCGGGGCTTGGGTGAGCGTTGGTCAGCGCGGAGGCACCATGTACCGTGTGCAGTGCAGGCTACCGGTGAGGGAGCGAGAGGGAGTGTCAGCCAGACAGGGTTACGTTGGGGCATGATACGCTGGTTGACCTGCCAACATGTGACCGGATGATATTGGAGGGGGGCCACCGGTGGACGGGGGCCGCTGGGCGGTCACGTGGTATAAAAGCGCTCTCAGGAGCCTTCGGGAAAGAGCTCGAGAGATCTAGAAGGTGGGCAGGGCAAGGGGCGGAGCCAGCCCCAGCCCCAGGCCGATATAACGGGGGCCCCGTAAGGGGCTCGGGGTTCTTCGGGTTGCTAGTGAAGAAGATCCACGTCAAGTTGAAGAAGCCTCTAGCCACGTGGTCCGGGACCCAGCTCGTGGTCCGGGCCGGGATAGCGAACCGTGTCTAGTTCTGCCGTAGCGTGGCTAGATGGGAATTCAACATCCAAGTGTCGGTTGTGCTATGTTATGTTGAGTTGGTGAAATAGTGTTGCTCCAAAGACAACGTCTGCGACTCAGTTGGACTCACTACACTTACTTATATTGAATGGGAGCGAGGATATATGTGTCGCCTGTTTTTAATGTATCTTGGAGTAACTGGTCACCGAGCTACAAGTGAACAGCGAATAACTAGCACGTGTAAATTGCGTAAATGAGCGTGTCATTGTATATATTTCATGATTTCCCCCAGCTCTTGTCCCAAGCAAGGCTAATCCACAATCCAGATAGTCCACATGCCAGATAACTCAGCGTTAACTATATGCATCTCTAAAATAATTGGTCGATAAGTGTAGTTGTCCCAAATATATATACACACACAGGCTGTGGGATGAACTCTGGAAACTATTCCAGTTGCTGCGTCTCACCTGTTGTTCTCTGAGTACGAGGCAAAGGTCCCCATCACTGGTTCTGCTCCCAAAACCATTGACTGTGGACCCAACTAAGAAGATATTGCAATCTGTGTGAAATATGAAATAACAGCATGCAGTTTTGTTGCATCGTGCTCTGAACACAAAATAATGAATGCACTGTTTAACACGTAGGCTTTCGCGACCAATATCATCCATAATCGAGGTTTTTGGGTTAGATCGCGTAAATATATAAATGTGTCGTTAAAACCCGCCACCACCCGACACAGCCCAACTAGTAAGGGTTGTCACGTAAACAGAACGTGGCCAATTCGTCACTTGTACAGCACACCGGTGTGTTGGAGAGCCAAGCCACAACATTTACAATCTGAGTACGAGGTTTCGCCAGTAATTACAATGATGAAGCTAGTTGTAATTACTGGCAAAATGTTGTACTCAGATTGTAAATGTTGTGGCTTGGCTCTCCAACACACCAGTGTGCTGTACGAGTGACAAATTGGCCACGTTCTGTTTACGTGACAACCGTTACTAGTTGGCAGTGTCGGGTTTTTACAACACATTTATATATTTACGCGATCTAACCCAAAAACCTCTATTATGAATGAATGCACTGTTTATAAATTTGATATCTTTTAACAGTTCGTTCAACAAAAAATTCACAGATATAGTACATTCGATAAAGTGTGGTCCTCCCATGCTAGGCCTTCATGTCGAGCATATCTTCTCTCAAGCTTTCACTACGCAATTACTGTGGGCATCTTCAACTCCAAAGATCTTCAATTCTAAAGATGCCCGCATTAGTGCGTGGCGAAAGCTCGTCAGAAGAAATTCCTACAAGCGACCTAACTGGGAAAACCACAATTGTATTACGAGTGGCTGCTAAAACCGGTGTGATAAAAATGATACATTTAGTGGAATATTTTCAAAGTAAAAACGGACTATGCTTAAGCAAAGAACTCTGTGAAATCGGCATGTTTACTTACAGGGGAACAATTTCCGAATCTCACACTGCAAGCTCTCACGCAGCTGGTCCTTCTGCTGGAAAAGCCTTGCCTGCTGTTGGCAGTTTTGGTACAGGTCTAGGATTTGCTGGCTTAGCTGAAAACAAGACAAAACAAGATTTAGAAAACACCATTAATTTAGAGGAAAATTTAATTTTACGTCTGTTCACAAGCTCAGACAGAATGGGAGAGTGATTTTAAGCTTTGAGATGACCAACTCTATTATAGCACACCAATGCTACGACTGTTTTGGCATTAACATTGCAAAACTATTATTCCTCGGCCGAGAAAAAGCCATTATCACTGCCTCTTCATCTCCGCTGCCGAAATTCCATGCCGCCGACTGGGTGGCCTTGCTCACCTCGTCAGGCACGCTCCGGGTAGACGTTTCGCTGGACGCCTTCAGATGTAGGAGAGCGGGCGAGAGAGTGGGCAAGGGCAGGACCCGCCTGGCGAGGTCGTTTGCAGAGGTGTGCGCACTGTTTGTGGGCTGAACACACGGCTTCTTCCCCTCAAAGTTGGTCGAATCATCGTGAACACGCCTGCACACAGGTAATAATTTTCATATAAATACAGAAAAATTTACATGACAGCTCTGCGGTGTGTATTTCAGGTTGTACAGTGAGTTGTATGGCCACGATGTCTAATGTTTCGCTCCACGTGTTGGAATCTTCTTCAGGAACTGAATTTGCGCTGAAGAAGCTCCCGACCATGTGCAGCGAAACGCCAAAGACACCAACTCGGAAACATAGTGGACAGTTATACAGTACAACCGCGAAAACCTATGCAGCAGTACATTCCATTGTTATTCATTAATAAAAAGTGCACATACGAAGTAACCAAAAAATATTATGTTTTGTCATTACTGGTGTCTCAGTGATGAGTAATTATACTGCTCTTACTTGCGGTTGATCCTGGGTGACTCCAGAACCCTGGAGCCATAGAGGGGAGTCGCAGGAAACCTCACAGGGACCATCGCCGTCCTCTGGCCCATGTGCATGTTCTGAACAGCGCTCATGCCAGGCACAGCACGCTCACCGTTTACCATGCTCACAGTGGCTGCTGACGGTAAGATGCCTGGCGCAGCGCCCACCACTTTGATGAAAGGGCTTCACGAGGAGAAATACAAACATTTAAAATAAGCATCATCGTTTAATGTTTTTTTTTACCGCACCTTCCGTGCGGTTGCAGCGCACCCCGAGGTGCCAGAACAAATGGGTATGAGAGATAATAACCAAGGTGATCACTCAGCCAGGAAGTGATTTCATACCAAATTCAACGTGCTAAAACAATGCGGTAATTAGACAACATGCACAAACAGTGATTGAAATTACGATTCTGTCCACTTCATCTAAGATGTTCACATGCGTTTTGAACATGTCTTTCAGTTCAATTAAATTGTTGGAATTTACAATAGAGATGTGCCACAGCATAAGACGAAGTGTTGTTTTTGAACAAGCTTGCCTACACGTGGTTGTACCTGGGATTGCCGGTCCCATTGGGGAAGATGTGGTTCTGGGGATGAGCTCTGTCATTGTAATTGACGTTGTTGTAGATAAATCTTGTGGCTGGTCGCTGCAAGAGGTGGTTGCCTGGCTGCGTGCTGGATGCAAACCTCTGATTGTGAGGGTTATTGTTGAGAGAAGTGGGATACATCGCTTTTCTCCACTTCACCGGGGCCCCAAAAGCATTAGTAACTGTGAAGGTACAAAGTAACACAACAGCATTGTGAGAAACGTGGACGCTCAGGCGTTTGGTCAATCCACACTGCTGGATGAAGATAACCCCGCCACGCCATGCGGGTACAACTTCCCCTCACGCTCAGTGCACGTGAGAGTATTGTAGTACAACGGTGGATTTTTTTATGCTGCAGTGCCATCTGCTGACCACAAAGCAGCCCCGCAGGCTATAACATTGCGAAAGCTGATCTCCCATCCAAGTACTATGCAGGCTGAAATGCCTGTTTAGCCTCCGGGATATGAAACGTTCAGACGCATTTCGGGCGATATTTTTGTTTAGGGTAAAAAGCCAATGTCTTTGTTCAGCCATTAACCCTTTCATAAGCCGATGTCCGTTACCAAATGCCAATGAAACGTTTCATAATTGGGAGCACAATATTCTTGGTTCTTTCAGTAAAGTGACGTAGAAGGGAAATAATAAATAATATATTTTATTATTTCCCTTCTACGCGACTTTACTGAAAGAACCAAGAATATGAATCCCTGCAGTGACGAAAGCTTTAAATGTGAGCACAATTTTGATTTAAAGCTTTCGTGACTGCAGTAATTCATATTCTTAGCTCTTTCGGTAAAGTCACGTTGAAGGGAAACAATAAAATAATAAAATATATATAAAACAATAAAAATTCTCACGACGTTTCGACCATAGCACAAACGGTCGTCATCAGGTGTGTCGGTTTGCATAAATTGATTTATTTTCAAAGGTGTATTTATTTATTAAAAAACGTTAGCGCCACGCGCAGCGATTTGGCAGTTTATTTAGAAGGACGAGTCCATCTATGTTCTGAAAAGAGGAGGGGGGAGACGAAAAATTAATGTATGCTGTCTGAAAGCCACTGTAAGCGTGAACAATCAATTAAGACCTGAAATGGTTTATCAAATCTTTCCAATGATTGCTAAGCCAGAATCCATCTTCTCGGTTGAAATTGTCTCTGTGCTTGTATATGTGGATAGCCTCATGAACGAATCTCTCATGGTAGCCAGATGGCTTACAAAGAACCTCTGTCTTGGAAAAGTCAATGTCATGTGAGCCTACTGACTTATAACAATGATCTGCCATGGCCGAGGTGTTGGTCCTACCGTGTTTAAGGTCTGCTTTGTGTTCACGAATGCGGTCCGAGACATGGCGTTTGGTTTCTCCAATGTAACTACTACCACAGAGGCAACTTAGCTTGTAGACACCAGGGTACTGTACGTCCGGAATCACATCTTTTACAGACGGGAACCAGATCACGGATTTTATGTAATGTGTTGAAACGTATCTGGATCTTGTGAGATCTTTTTTGTGATCCCCGCAATGTAGGGTAAAGTGATGGTTTTGAAAGGCTCCTCAAGAGGGTCCTTCTTCATGGTTTGAGTGATAGCTTTGCGGATTGTATAGTCGGAGTAACCATTAGCCTTAAGAGCTTGGCGTACGTGCTTGAGTTCAGTGCCTATGTGTTCCTGGTCGGATATGCATTGGGCTCTATGATACAGAGTCTTGATGAGAGAATTTGGGAATCCGGTTTCAGATAAGCTACCCATACGGATGCTTATCTGAAACCGGATTCCCACCACCATCGATTGCGCCGAAACCCTGAACGCACTCGTACGCTTCCACAGTGCATCGTGAGTACAGCTCGTCGACTAAAAAATGACTGCTTCACGGACATTATGCGAGAGCCGTAAGGTTCAAATGTTCAATTAGACGGCGATGCGATCATGAAGTTGCAACACAAAACTCACGCTCTGTACATCGACTCCGAAAGTGAGAATCTGATAGCAACACTACTGAAGACGTCATAGCAAGCATTGAAAACACGGAAGCAGAACTCATTGGTGAGGATGTTCGCTTGATACAAAGACGATGCATGTGACGATGACAATAAAGGGGTTGGAATGAGGCTGTTCTCACCCAGAGTGCACTGCACTACCGCCGGCATCTCTAACTTAACCTCATTTTCGCCTTCAAGTCAGCCGTTGTTGACGATTATCAACAAGTAGGTGGCAAGGAAGAGAGAGAGAGAGACAGACGCGTTCACGTTTCTAGATTTAAAGCTTTCGTGACTGCAAGGAACCATACTCTTTGGTTCTATTCGGTAAAGTCACGTAGGTAAAAAAACAAAACAACAAAAATCACGACGTTTCGTTTGTGTCGTGGCCGAAACGTCGTGATTTTTTTTTTACCTGCGTTCACGTTTCACAAAGAAACACCGCCGATGACGACAAAGTGGCCGTGGTTCGCGGCTTCACACTAACACGGCCGCACTCATTACACACAAAGCGCTGGCCACAAACGAGCCACAACACCTCGCTGCTCATCTCAAGGAGCATACACACCATCCAGCAAACTACCTCGCTGAAGCGGCTTTTGGCTCTTGCCATCGAAACACCGCGCGCTTTCGGATGCGCTTCTGCGGCCGTCTGGAACGCTCTCCCGATATTTGGAAGGTACGCGCTTTTTAACATCCGGATTGTAAACTCACTTGTTCGTAACTGCCTTTTGGCATTTGGTTTGTCGTCCTCCCCCCGCACCTCCGATTAGCACGGTTTGGCTACGTGCGGCGCGAAAGAAGTTCGAGCGTACTGTACTCGCGCGCACACTGTACTCACTCGCAACCGGACGTCACCGCTCCACACTCTCGCCTCAAGACGCGAAGCGGCTCCGTCGGCCCACGCTTGCAACGAGCAACAAGCAGAGGCGGTAGAGGACAGGCAGCTCCACGCTCATGGCTTTGCAAGTCCACGCAAAGCGAACGCGGAGCGCGACCCGCCGGACGACGAGGAGGAGGAGGCGCCGCCTCGCTCCGAGCGGGCACAGGGGAAGGCCTCAGGCTCGGCTTGCGCCTTCCGCTTCCGTCTCTCGGTACGGCGGCGCAGCGAGGCTCCCTCCTGTTTAATCTGTCGTTAAATCCGCAATCTTGCCGCACAACGACGACGACGACAAAACGCCTCACAAAAGCCGCGACGGAGCGCGTTATGCAGCGCCGCCGAGTACGCGAAAGCGGCCGCCGCCACCACCACCACTGAAGTTTGTCCGGCGCGCGGTGACGTCACGGCTCCCAGCAGTGACGAGCCGGGCTGTAAACAAATGACGCCTTCGAGCGGTGATGACGTTTGTGCAGTTACGTCATTTGACGTCGAGCATTTGCCTTCGAGCGATAATGACGTTGGTGCAGTGACGTCATTTTACGGGAACGTCGTGACGTCACGCCAAACCCAGATGCCATTTTACATAATCACAATTCGTATTGATTGTATCTTGACTTAAAGCTTTCGTGACTGCAGGAATTCATATTCTTTGGGTCTTTCGGTGAAGCCACGTAGATAGAAAAAATAATACAATTAGTAACAATATCACGACGTTTCGATCGCAACACGAGCAATCGTCATCAGGTGAAAAAAAGAGGGGGAAAGCTGCTGAGGCAGCTGAGGCTGTCTGTTTATAAAGGTTTAGAGATGGGCGGGGCAGTTAATGTTAATGTGGAGAGCGCTCCGTCACCTGCAGTAGGTCTACACCAATCAGAGAGCTGTTTGTAAAGGTTTAGAGGTGGGCGGGGCAGCTAATGTTAATGTGGGAGAGGGCTCCGTCACCTGCAGTAGGTCTACACCAATCAGAGAGCTGTTTATAAAGGTTTAGAGGTGGGCGGGGCAGCTAATGTTAATGTTGGATAGGTCTCCACACCGGCAGGAGCTCTACACCAATCAGAGAGCTGTTTATAAAGGTTTAGAGATGGGCGGGGCAGCTAATATTAATGTAGGAGAGGGCTCCGTCACCTGCAGTAGGTCTACACCAATCAGAGAGCTGTTTATAAAGGTTTAGAGGTGGGCGGGGCAGCTAATGTTAATGTAGGAGAGGTCTCCGTCACCTGCAGTAAATGGCGGCTTGCATTCCTTTTCCACCTCCATGTGGCGATGGCTCTTTCCAAGCTCTCTCCGAGCTTACATTCACAAGCGTCTCTAAACCTTTGTAAACAGCTCTCTGATTGGTGTAGACCTACTGCCGGTGTCGAGACCTCGCCTACATTAACATTAGCTGCCCCGCCCATCTCTAAACCTTTGTAAACAGCTCTTTAATTACACTTTGGTTTTATTCGGTAAAGTCACGTAGATAAAATAAAACAAATTAAAAGAAAATAATTAAATCACGACGTTTCGGAGGCAACACAAGCTTCCGTCTTCAGGTGGAAAAGTCAACGCAGAATATCTGTGTCAGGAACACAGTTCAGAGACAACAGGGATTATATACAGGTTCGGGGGGGGGGGGGGGGAGGAGTCAGTAAGGGGGCGTGGGTGGGTGGGAGGGCTGGGTGAAGCAGCCTTTTGATAGGCTGCTGCGGGTAACAACCACTTTGCACTGCACGGGAGTGGGTAAAAAACCCACCTTTTGTATGCTACGTGTGGGGTCGGGGAGATTTTGAAAGCGGGTGCAAACGGCTGTTCAATTATAAGGTAGCTGAAGTTTGATATACAACCATTGCGAAAAGGAAATGGCCGTACAAAAAATTGAGAGGCAGCTAACGTTTGACTTGATTTATAGCATATTTCCAGTGATTGCTCAATTTGAAACCATCCTCTCGGTTGAAGTTGTGTTTGTGTTTGTAAATCTGGATGGCCTCGTGGACAAATCTCTGATATAAACCGGTAGGTTTGCAGAGTACCTTGGTATCGGGAGTGGGTAAAAAACCCACCTTTTGTATGCTACGTGTGGGGTCGGGGAGATTTTGAAAGCGGGTGCAAACGGCTGTTCAATTATAAGGTAGCTGAAGTTTGATATACAACCATTGCGAAAAGGAAATGGCCGTACAAAAAATTGAGAGGCAGCTAACGTTTGACTTGATTTATAGCATATTTCCAGTGATTGCTCAATTTGAAACCATCCTCTCGGTTGAAGTTGTGTTTGTGTTTGTAAATCTGGATGGCCTCGAGGACAAATCTCTGATATAAACCGGTAGGTTTGCAGAGTACCTTGGTATCGGAGAAAATATCATGATCACCCACATCGTTGCAACAATGATCAGCCACGGCAGAAGAATTAGTTCTGCCGTGTTTCAAATCTGATTTGTGCTCGCGAATTCGGTCAGAGATATGTCGCTTCGTCTCCCCGATATAAAAGTCCCCGCAGGTACAACTCAATTTGTAAACACCGGGGTACTGTAAGTCAGGAATAACATCCTTTACTGATGGGATCAGATCACAGATTTTGTGCACTGTGTTGAACCGGACCTGGATCTTGTGTTTGTTTAGAATTTTGAAAATCTTTTTAATAGCGCCTGCTATGTATGGTAACGTGATGATTTTAATCGGAGTGTCAAGTGGTTGTTTCTGTATGGTGGGAGAAACAGCTTGGCGGATGGTACGGTCAGAGTAACCGTTCATCTTGAGGGCCAAATGTACATGTTTTAATTCACTGGTCAGGTGGTGTTTGTCAGAAACGCAATGAGCCCTATGGATTAACGTTTTGATGAGAGAATTCTTCTGAGTTGGGTGGTGGTGGGAATCAGGTTTCAAGTAGGAATCTGTGTGGGTGGGCTTCCTGTAAACAGAATGTCCCAAAGAGCCATCAGGCCTTCTCTCAAACAGGACATCCAAGAATGGTAGCTTGCCATCTTTCTCCACTTCCATGGTGAATTTGATGGAAGGGTGTCTGGAATTGATGTGGTCTAGGAAAAGGTTCAAAGCTGGGAGGCCATGTGGCCAAATGACGAACGTGTCATCCACATATCTCTTCCACAGGGAAGGGCTGAGCTCTGAACTCGCGAATTTAAAAAAGAGAGATGATATAGTCATCCTCTCGGCTGACAAAGGCAATGCCACTAATTATGGATAACAACTCATACAACAACAAAATCCAGGACCTACTCAATGATGGGAGTTACTCAAAAATTAAAAATGACACTACTAACAGCCTAATGATAAAAACCAACAAGATCATCACTAGTTCAACTTCCCTAATTGAACCAACCAAACGTCCCTCCCTAAAACCCTCCGCTGCAAGACCTCCCAGATTCTATGGTCTTCCCAAGATCCAAAAAGAAGGTACCCCACTACGACCCATCGTGTCCACTATCAACTCATCTACATACAAGCTGGCCCGTTTTCTGTCAGATACTCTGCTTCCCTTCACTGGCAAGGCCAGCTCAGCAGTAATTAACTCAACCCAATTGGTCTCTATGGTTAAGGGCATTGTACTTCTGCCGTGGTTGATCATTGTTACAACGCTGTGGGTGATCATGATATTGTTTTCTCCGATACGAAGGTGCTCTGCAAACCTACCGGTTATTATCAGAGATTTGTCCACGAGGCCATCCAGATTTACAAACACAGACACAACTTCAACCGAGAGGATGGTTTCAAATTGAGCAATCACTGGAAATATGTTATAAATCAAGTCAAACGTTAGCTGACTCTCAATTTTTTGTACAGCCATTTCCTTTTCTCAGTGGTTGTATATCAAACTTCAGCTACCTTATAATTTAACAGCCATTTGCACCCGCTTTCAAAATCCCCCCGACCCCCCACGCAGCATCAGCCGTTTGCACCCGCTTTCAAAATCTCCCCGACCCCACACGCAGCATACAAAAGGTGGGTTTTTTACCCACTCCCATGCAGTGCGAAATGGTGGTTGTTACCCGCAGCAGCCTATCAAAAGGCTGCTTCACCCAGCCCTCCCACCCACCCACGCCCCCTTACTGACTCCTCCCCCCCCCCTGAACCTGTATATAATCCCTGTTGTCTCTGAACTGTGCTCCTGACACAGATATTCTGCGTTGACTTTTCCACCTGAAGACGGAAGCTTGTGTTGCCTCCGAAACGTCATGATTTAATTATTTTCTTTTAATTTGTTTAATTTTATCTACGTGACTTTACCGAATAAAACCAAAGAGTATGAATCCGTGCAGTCACGAAAGCTTCAAATCTAGCTCTTTGATTGGTGTAGACCTTCAGCCGATATCAGAGACCTCTCCTACATTAACATTAGCTGCCCCGTCCATCTCTAAACCTTTATAAACAGCTCTCTGATTGGTGTAGACCTACTCCCGGTGTCGGAGACCTCTCCCACATTAACATTAGCTGCCCCGCCCACCTCTAAACCTTTATAAACAGCTCTTTGATTGGTGTAGACCTACTGCAGGTGACAGAGACCTCTCCCACATTAACATTTGCTGCTCCGCCCACCTCTAAACCTTTATAAACAGCCTGCCTCAGCAGCTTCCCCCTCTTTTTTCACCTGATGGCGATTGCTTGTGTTGCGATCGAAACGTCGTGATATTGTATTAATTGTGCAGGAGGAATCCGATGAGCTATTAAGCTCTTTTTCGCAGATGTCTAGTTGGGGCACGGCGTCAGAACGTTGCAACAACTCGCAATACAAAAACACGATAGAGTGCAGAGTTACATGTTATTTATGGAGTTTATTGTTCATAATTCGGTCACAGTCCCTATGATCACTGTTACATTGCATTTATGGCTTCATTTGGTGATTTCGAAAACGTTTTTTGGTTTGGCCATGTTTTTGTTTATTGTAGTACGGAGTTAGACTGATGGCCTTAATCTTAGTTGTCTTGTGGTTGTTGTTGTTTGACTTGCATCCCACTGGGATTTTTGCACACTGCGTTGATGTACAGTGCTTTTTCAGGAATATTTAGATATTTTTTTCCTGGATTTTCTGTTTGCACAGTCACACAAAGTCACTTTAAGATGTTTTCTTGTTCGTGTTTTTGTTTTTTGTTTGTTGCGGTTGCACCCGATTCAAGAGCCGAATGGCTCACAGGGCTATACCAAATAAATGGAACTATGGAACTATGGGAAAGGAGAACAAGTCACTTAAAAATATATACCAATACAATTAAACTATTTTTATATTCCCAGGTAAAGCCCACTGAGGTATTAACTTATTTTCCAGAAATGATAGCTCAACAAAGTGGCTTAGCAAGTGGAAATGTATAGCAGCCGTCAATGAGACCATATACTAGTGAATGGTGTGTAATGACATTCAGAAATCCATTACAGTGTTGTACTACCTTTTATTTAAGTTGTCTAGGTTTACTTGCTTGTGATTAAACCTAAATTGTTATTATGTACATGG